TACAGAAACCAATGAAGCACAATCAACAGGTGTGAGTTGACAACGAACAAAATTTACCGAAATAAAGTTAATTTGTTGTAGTTTTCTCTGAACTATTTCCTCCATCTCACTGCTTTCGGTAACACACTTAAATAATGTCACTGCTAAATGTTTTTTGTATTCAGTCGGCCAATGCATTACTTTGCTTGGCTCCGTATCCTCTGGCCACTCTTCGTCGTTGAACTCGCTTTCTTTCTCTTCAGTTTCCACAGGAAGAAGGTCTGTGATGATTTCACTCGGTAGTTTTTCTTTCTCGTTCATTAGTCCTGCTAGAAACTGAAATACCAGCTGCCATTTGCCGTCCTCGATGTTCATTGAAACAAAGTTTCTCAATTCTGTTTCACTCATGTTCGCTAGGTGCCGCGCAGCGAAAAATTCTTGCATTGTTAAATGGATGAAACAGAATTGTTGTTCACGTTTTAACGCAACAGTTTCACGGTCAAGTAAGCGGTGAAAAAGAGCGCTGTCTTCCATTCCGCGTACTTCATTTCCTCCAAAGACTAGCCTTCCTTCTTTAATTCCTTCAAATGCCATTTTTTCCAGTTTCTCGAATTTCTTTTCCACTTCAGGGGGCAAGTCGTCTGATTCAAAGTCTTCGCGGGTGAAATTCTTGCCACGGAATTCTTCGTTGTGGCCTAAGTAAAAAATTTTCACAGCTTTCTTGTAAATATCTGTTAATTTCGTTGGTAGGCTTAGACTCTTAGAACCATAGAACTTCACCATTTGAAATAGACTTGAGCAAATGATGAAGCAACTCGCAGGAATATAGCATAGAGAGAGAATGTTCCTGTTGCCGCCGATGTGTCGCCATATTGTTTCGCCCGCATGCTTGTCCTCTTCAGCAAATTTGGTTACGTACTTTTCGACTTGTTCGGATGAGAAGCCGAGGATCTCAAAGACTTTGTCGAAAGAAAGACGTTCGATGCATGACAAAGCCGTAGGTCTTGTGGTTGTCAAAACGGCAGCTCCGTTGAGAAGTTTCCCAGACGCAAGCTTCTCGTAAAGAGCAGACAAGGGCATCTTCTCGTCTACATGGTTTCTGAATTTAGGATCGAAATTTTCCTCGCCGATCTTTGAATTCTGTTTAAATTCATCGATTCCATCGAAAACAAGGAGAACTTTCTGGGGGTTCTCAAGAACGTAATTCCAGACTTCATCATCCATGTGTTTTGAGGGGGAATGTTCTGACAAAGTGAGCAGTTCCCTGAGGCTTAGGTCGGCTGCAGCGTTGAATGCTCTGAATTTGATGAAGAAAGTAGCATCAAAATGGAGTTTAGCATCAGGTGTTTTATGGAATACTTTGTTAAATGCCCAGTCCCTGAGAACTTTGGAACAACAAAGTGTCTTTCCGATTCCGGGACGACCAACAATCAACACTTTTTTGTTTTCGTGGTTAATAATGTCCTCCGGCCCTCTAGGTGTTGTGTTTTTCTCACCCGGTCTGGCGTAGACTTCGAGTTTCTGCTGTCTGTCTCCAGTAAAGTCATAATTAGCCATGTCTGGAACAACGACAAGTTTAGTGTAAATCTGATCCAGAGTCAAATGTTTAGCTGGGCGTCCTTCGCCGTGAGTACTTGAAAAAGGCGACCGGAGTTGGGGAGGTTGGTTTGTCTCTTCTTTAATAATTCTCTTTGTATTCTCGATGAATTCCTGAAGCGGTGGTTTTCGGGGTTTTTCAGGCTCGCTTGTTAGATGTGGGATGTTCGTTCCATGGTCTGTACTTTCCTTTATCTGGTGCAGTTCTTGTGGGACGTTCGTTTCATGCTCTGTTCTTTCTTCTTGGTTCTGAGGTTCTTGTGGGAGGTTTGTTTCATGCTCCATTCTTTGCTTTTGCTGCCGAGGATCTGGTTTTAATGCGGTCGCCGTGGTAGCATTTTGTGAGTTGCCATGGAAGGGATTCAGGTGAGCTTTTAGAAAGTTTGAATTTTTCATGAAACTGTTTTCTTTCCACGCACGTAGCAAAATATAGACGGTTTCCATCAGAATTCCAAAGAGAAAAATTCCGTTCACGATAAGAACAGCGCGCATCCAAGAGTTTTTCTTAGTTGCTCGCTGATTATGACACTCGTGCAAGGTTAAGGTGGAGTTTTGCATAACGCCAGTAGAATTCCTTGGCTGATTCCCCTCAGAGGTTAGATGACAAGAAAAGCTGGAGGGAAAGTGCCGAGGATAAAGAACCTGAGTTTGTAGGACCATAAAGAGAACTCCTAAAACAATCCTTGTGACAAGCTGAGAGCAGTAAGCGATAAAGAGCTTTTTTCTATCTTTCTCTTGGTCGGGCGACTGTCTCTCGAGATCATCGTTCCGAGCGCTTGACGACAGTCGATCGACTATAGGGCTCGCTATTTGGGAGTAAATAGCACAGACAGTTGCAATGAGGAAAAAGTTCATAGTGACGAAGCCATAGGTAGCAACATCGTGTTTGTTATACTGCTTCTCGTATAACTCGAAACATCTTCCACGTACAAGGTCGATGTTTTCACCGTTTGCCCCGCCACAGCGGAAATCATACCTGGATTCGCTGCTTTCTGCGTCTGCAAAAATTCCAAGGAAGATTACACCGATTAGAATCCAAACAACAACTACGGCATGGCTGACTCTGTTAAATGTTTTTGGTGCAAGTAATTCCTTGAGATTATCCATTGTTAGCGTTTGTATTCTCACTGTTTTCGATTAGATGTAAATCGCATTATGTCGTAAGTTGAAATAATGAAAGTGTATTGGTCTTCCGGTCGGTCATAGCTCCAGATTTTACGGTTTATTTATGGAAACAAATACGATTTTAATTCTTGGCAAAGTGAACGGCTGTCAAGTAGTCATCACACGCCATCTTTTTCTCGGCTACTCAGGAGGCTGATATGGGAAACTGTGACAGGAAACTGAAATGGACCCATGTGCTGCCAGATTAATCTGAAGCAATAGAGGATTACGAGTGTAGCGAAGGATTTTGCTTTCTAAGGCAAATTGCACCCTTAGTAGTGTTATCACAAAAGAAATTGTAAATTGTTACTGAACGTTCTCCTTTACCTTCCCCTTCCACCTAAGTCGAAGTAATTTGCTAAGTATGATCGCCTCTAAACACGGCTTGGTCGTTCAACGTTCATTTTTCCAATTAGTTTTCAAAATCGTGTGCTTTTTCGATTGAGTTGTACGATTGACAACCGAGATACAAAAGTGAAGACATGGGAGACATCACCGTGTTGGAAATAAAACATCAGATTTTTAGCGTCATTTGTTTTCTATTGTACTATTTTTTAGAGATTTGCATTGATGTAGAGTACCCCGTTAATTTTTTTTCCCCAAAAGATATGGGATAACAATAAGCACTAAAAACCACAGGAGTGATCCTCGCAACAATAAGCTACATTTGATGTCTCTCTCGCTTCATGTGGCCTCGTAGCTTAGTTGGTAGACGCCCAACTGACATCTGCGAGGCACGGTTTCGAATCCCGTCCAAATGTGAATCTTATCAAGCTTTTTTTTCCGCGATTGCTTTTACTGCAGCTTTCTTGCAAATATCATATCTTAAGTTCTACAATTATGGGAACTTAATTTCGCGGGTACTTAATTTTGCGATTGTGGTGAGACGGTATTTTGCGGGGTTACATATTCGCGATTTCAATGCAAGGCCGGCAACTCTGAAACGTAGGCATGCCATGCGTACAAATTTTTTTTTTTGGTTGGGTTCAGATAGGACGATTTGAGTAACTTTTTTTTTCAATTTTGTGAAAGAAAAAAGCATCAACTTTCAAAGTTTCAAACAAAAATACTTTTCAATGGAAAGCAAAAGAGACCCTTCTATTTTCTATGAAATAAACATAGACACACCTATTTTGTGGTCTGTTGTCACTGTTATCTGAACAATTTTAAGGTGGCTGGAAACAGTTTTCCGAGAAGCCTACTGACTACATTCAAAGCGCTCAAGAACCGACTTTCCTTCTTCGCAGTCAAACCAATTTTTGCACGTGGTGACCAAAGAATTGACGTTTGAGATAGTGGACGTTGCATGACAACCGCTACTATTATGCTAATGTTATGGAGAATTCCCGTTAATCAGTTTTTGAGGACGGTCTCGAAAATTCCCCAATAGATTTTCCGAAAAATTTAGGATTTCCTATTTTGAGATAAGGCCTCGCAGCTGAGTGAATTTAAACAAAGTAAATCAAGCCGCTTCAAAATTATGATGCTGCTAAGTGACAGTTGATTTAACTAGCGCGACACGATACTAATTACGGCGAGAGCTCTAAATCGCGTTCTAGTCAATAGATTATATGTTTTTCCTCGAACAAATTTTTATTCTGTTCTTAGCTATTGTGCTTAATTTGGAACTTTTTCGTTGAGTCGAGGAGAAACTACGGCGTCGCGAATCAAGAGTAATTGTAGCACTAATATTCACGGAGCAAAAAAGAGAAACCAGCTAGATCATTTTGGCCTACGGCCCGACGGCAGACGCAAATTAATTTGATAAATTCCATGTATTCAGGCAAAACTTTTTACTATAGTACCACCGCCCAGATATTTAAACAGAAGACAGTACTATGATTATGGGGACAGAAATAAACCTAGTGGAAGGGGTAGGGGATAACCCATTCTAAGTTATCCGCGTCTGAACTACGAACACCCTGGAAGACGATGCGGATAGGGAAAAAAAAACGGCTTGCATTTTTAGACTCGAACGTTCCTAAGTAAGCTCGAGTAACAATATCATCTTGGGTTTAACATCTAAGTTTCGTGATCTTTGCTCGGTTACCAACTTTAATCGGTCTCGGAACAGTCAGTGATAAAATTTCAAGTAAGGCTAACAAGACCCAAGGTATTTTAAGGAGAACCTATAAATGACTTCAGAATCAATGTTTCTACACTGAGAACTTTGTGTCTTTCCCTGGTAATATCGAATTTTGCACTGTTATGTGGTCACCACACATTCAGAAATATCACAAAGTTGGAACAAATTCAGTGTAGGGCAAACAAGTTCATTTTCAATACTGATGTTGATTACGAGCGACGGAGAGACAAGCTCAGAACAAAGGAGATTGATAAGTTTGATTATTCTCACTACCTTTTTGCTTGATAATGCAGGGATATAAGAGGGAGAAGTTTCATGTTAATCCCTTCTGGGAGTTAAAGAGTCAAAACAGTATGCAAGCCCTAGACACAATATCCTTCTTTATCATTCAGATTGTTTAAATTTCCCTCTCTGATCATTGATCATATTTTATCTACGGAAAACTATAAATCTACACAAATGGGCTCTAATCACAAGTATTCTACCGTAGTGGTTCTAAGTAACTTGTCTACCAATAATCTCCACTTATTCTCTTATCAATCAGTACTTTCCGAAAGTCTTGAGTCAAATAGGGATTTATGTCATAGCTATGTACTTGATGTGCTCCAATCAGTTCTTAGCCAGTGTTGTCTGGGCTAGCTTAACACTGATCATAGAAGCTTACTGAAACAGCACTTGCATAATGGAGACAGAATTAATTAAGAGAAAATTTTTAACACCCCATGAAGAATATACAAGGCCTTTGGAATAAGTAAACAATGTCACTGTAGTGAAAAATAATCGGTCTCACATTGTGGTGACTTCTGATAAGGATCAATAAATAACGATACTTCGCCCTTTGACCCCTAAGACTAAGAGTTACTGGCTGCATATTTCTCCTTCTAATATCACCCCTGAATCATGACAGGAAAGGAAATGATTACCAACCAAAGAAGCTCTTGATTGTTAAACAAATTCTCCCTGTCAGCACCTTATGAAATGTATAAAGAACAGCACAGAGAATATGCGTAATGATGTTAGAGTGGAAAGGGTGAGCAACAGGAGTTTTCACCACAATTATGAAACACAACTTTTTAAAAACTTTGTTATTGTACATGAATTAATGGTCATGCAATTGCCCTATAAAGGGAAAATGCAAAGAACAGCATATCAATCATGGTCTTGCACTAATTTAGAGACAACTAAACAAAATATCTTTTCTGATTTTGTAATAAATAATTAAGTCACTGAACTGTGAGAACAGTCTTGGTAACATAAACTGTAGTTCTTGTGGCTACACAATAACCAGAGCCTCACTAACAGGCATATTAATGACAGCAGTAATGACAGGAATGCTATTTCCTTGATGCAAAACAAACACTTTGATTGAATCTGAAATCCCTTTATCACTGATACACTCCACAAGAGTTTCATAAGTGTACATTAGGCCTGGCACAAGCAGAGGAACAGTAATGCAAGGCTTAGACAGGGCATACAGGGAGTCATCGAACTGAAATGTGATGAGGAGGTTGGTGGATGGCACACTTGACGAAATGTTCTGAAGATTCACAGTCAGCTTGAAGGCAGGCCCAATTCCCTGAACTTGAGCTGAAAGCTTCAGGGGTTCTGTAGTAGAGGAGGAAATCGGGTTCAAACTTTTCTGAAGTGCACTGACATATGCCCTTGCAGCCATGAGGCGCATGAGGTATAGATCATGTTGGAACATTCTATGCATGCTGCCAGCACTGTCACGTTCACGCAATGTCTGATCCACAAAAAGCTTTGTCTTCTTCGGAACATTGAGCTTGATAGATTGTGCCTGAGGTGGTCCAGGAGTCAAATCCTTGCCTTCAAAGTTTGCAGTTCTCTTCAAGATTTTCACATAAAGGCCTCCACCTTTGGTGATGAGAATTAAGGCACTTTCCTCCCGGCCAAACCGACCAAACTTCATAGCAGTCACTGCTTCTGGCATTTTGATGGTATTGATGACATACTTCTCCTTGTAGATCCTGACTTCACCATTTTTCATGGCTACCATGACAGCCTTAAAACCCCTTGCTTTGTGATCCATAAGGCTCATGGTGGTGATACTGGAGGGGAGGTACACTGTCCACAGTTTTTTCCCTTTGGTGGAGTAACAAACCAGTGTGTTATCCATACACCCCACTATAATGCTCTTTCCTGTGCGCTCCAAACCAACTGCTTGGGCTCCAAGTTCAATGCATGCCTTGGCCATCTTATTACCCCTCTTCAGGGTGTATACCTTACCATCTCGGCACGCAACTACAATTCGGAATTCCACATCAAATAAACCATTGACTGAGATGAATACTGGTACACTGGGGAGGTTCATTCTTGCAAGGACAGTGAAAGCTTCAGGATCAAGAACAAAGACATCCTTACTCTCTGTTCCAATCACCAAACAGCTAACAGCATCATCATCAGCCATACTCTTTTTCATTGTTCCCATGCAAGTAATCACTGTTTGCCTCTTCAGTGGGGCATGCTTGTGAACACTTGCAAAAGCTTCAACCTCCTCTGGTTCAAGGGACAGTAATTTCAGTGAGCGTACAGTAAGGAAACCCTCACTTCCTTCATTCTTCAAACTCTCCAACATCTCCCTGAGCACATGAATGTCAATCTTGTCTTCTTTAGCCTGGTTCCAGAGATCTTGCTCCACAGCATTCACTTCCAAAGGTGGTAAAGTGAACTTAAAATAAGGCCTCAAATTCTTGTACACATAGATGAATGGTCCTGAAGCAACTGCCACGGCAGGTGTGCGTGGATCATTTGTGTCCATATAAAATGTTACCAGAGCTGTTGGCAGATCAATGATAGCACTCTCCATAAATAGACTAGTTCCCTTAAAAACCTTCAGCTTCATGTCAAACGTGCCTGTGCCCAGGTCAGCCACAAGGAGTTTGTGGTCAGAGTCAGCATTCAGATCTGCCAAGGAAATTGATGTGGAAAAGGTGTAGAGCTGTGCAACTGGATCTTGGTGAGCATTGAGCCATGGACTTTTTTCTGGAGATTCTTCATCATCCCTAAAGAGTTTGAAAAAGATTATTAATAAATGTGGACAGCTAGAACTTTCAACTCTGAGGGAGAAGGTTATTTCCTAGAAACAGGCTAATAGGGATATCATGTTGTATAAGGTCACATTTTTACGATTGGATTGACTATAATGGGGTTTCTCTTTCAATTGTGTAACAAGAATAGGGTCATACATTTTCAGGATTTTGGCAGAAAAGTTTTTGGTAAATAGGGATTTTAAAATGGGAAGATTTGTAGTTAAAAAATTGTTACCATATTAACAAAAGTGACTAACATGAGTTCCACAATTGGACACAGAATAGACTATAAAGAGGTAGGGGGTTCTAAGACGCCAGTGGCTCATACCCAAACAAAAAAATTGACTCAAGTCTCCTCCCTCCACCACCTCCCCCCCCAAGGAGTTTCAAATATAACACTCTCTTGTTGAGGCAAACGTTTTAAACTGTATTTTAATGGTGCAGCGTTTGATTTACAAGAGTATCACGGATATTCATGAGAAATATGCAAAGGCAGGTAACAAAGAAAAAAAAGAATTTCAAATAAGAAAAACCGCACGCCACCCTGCGTTTAATGTAGCGAGAAACAGTTGCTAAGGGAAGCTAAGATACGATCAAACAGTACAAAACCACGTCACATAATTCAAACCTGACATGTGAAAACTGTGAAAAAAAACGAGTTTTAAAAATCTAACAGAATTAAAGATTTCCAATAGCTTTGGAGCGAAAATAAATCTTTCCTGGTAAAGATTCGATTCGTAGAGACGAAAAATCGACCGCTTAATTACCGTCAAATAAACACAGGACCTGAATCCTGTACATTAAGTCGGGCAACAACCAACAAATTTTTGTTCAATATCACAAAATTTACCCAAGAATTAATCCGGAAACATACTTACCTATTATCTAAGGAAGATTCCGCTTGAGAACTCATCTTTTGGAGCCGAAAAAATACAGATAAAGAATTGTGAATACAGTCCGACAGCAACCCCTACAGTTCCCAAGCAGCTTAGCGCGCATCGCACTCCAATCCCACAACCCCTTGCAAATCGATTTTTTTGTTTTTTCCTCTCTGGAGCCTGGAAAAGAGAGTTGTTTCCGATCATAATTATTTAGCGCTTTGTCAGCATCTAGTATTTAAGTAATTTGGGTGTAGCATATTATTGGTAACACTTTTTCACCCTTCAGTATCAAGATGAAAGTTACGGCTACTTTAGAAGGCGATCAGATCTTTAATCTCGACGTCAGTGTTGATCTAGAACTTGAGAATCTCAAAGCTCTTCTAGAATTCGAGATTGGATTGTCGTCGTCCCAGATTGTGATTTATCATAACGGCCGAGCACTTGTTGAGGAAAAGAAGACTTTAAATGCGTATGGGATTCTGGAGGGTGATGTCCTATTGATAAAGCGCGTTGTACAATCCGCACAACCCCCAGCTCAGTCGCGTGGTAAGTTTTATCTTCAATTTGAAGGTTTAAAATTTTTCGTGTGATAATATAATTTACAACAACACATGTGACTTTAATTGTGTGACAAAGTCTTCTTTAGAGGAGAAAAAACTACATCACCATTAAGACAAGTATAAAGACTGTTATTATTAATATTATGTCTGTCAGAGCTAAAATCTTCCAATATTTCAAGAGATTCTGCCGTGAAAAGCCGTGTAAAAATCTACTATATGTCATCATGACAACTGGAGTTTTATTCGTGACTACCTCATGCGATCGATCCATGTACATTGATAAAACGATGACATCATCAATTCAATAAGAAACCTTCCATGAGTCATCAAGACAGAATTTCTCCCTACAGTGTCGATACAGTGTCAAGCAGAGAAGTGATGAGAAAAAAGAAAAATACCAGTTGGGTCATTAGTAGTTGATCTAATACTTATGTAATAGAAATTGTGTGGGAGACAGGAAGGAGAATAACTAATGAGATCTTGGAAGTGAAAGGGTTAAGATATTATTTTACCCAAAAAAATTTCTTTACTTTTAAGAAATGTGGAAACATTTTTCTGCTTGTTTTTTTTGTGGCCCCAATCAGTGGCTTGCACCTGTAACTCAATAAATAAGTGAATAGAAACAATTCTAGATCAATTTAAACATGATACATCTTAAAATGAATTAAACTTTTCGAGAGGACCCACACTTTTCTCTTTACATTTCCTGTGGTGCTGACATGGAGAATTTGTTTACCTTTTAAGGGCTTTTCTAGTCATCATCATTTTCTTTACTTTTTATGACCTTAATGATTGATTCAGCACTGATGGCTGATGGATTGATTTGATGCCAATCACCCCAAGGAGATAACCTCGTAATTTTTTTTCAGTTGCTCTCTTACACACTGAACTGATGGTCATTGTTTCTTCACTCTTTTGTTTTAAGCTGCCAGCTTAGAGATTTAAGATTCAGATGTCTATGGTGACCAAATTGATCCATCTAGTAATTAAAACAAGAAAAATTAATTGTCACTTGTTGCCTGTGTAAAAAAGTCAATTGGACTTTGTTCTGATTGACTGTAATTTCTTTATATGTTACTAATAAGCTAGATTCTTTTTTGTACATTCTTGGTTAGGAGCTGCTCCAGGTGGTAGAGTGAACTGGGGAAGTGTACAAGTACCCAACAGTTCACGATCTGCCGGTGGTAATCAATCAGCCCCGAGACAGCCAGCACAACCAAGTATGAACACAAGAAGTGCCCCTGCTGGTGGGATAGATTGGGGAAGTATACAAATACCTAACAGTTCATCTCATCCACAATCTGCTCACAATCAAGCCACCTCCGGACCTCCACAGCAACCTCGTGTAGATACAGACAGTCCTGAGTACATTAGGGACATGTTCCTGGCAGATCCCCATCAGCTATCACTCCTTAAGGAGAGAAATCCAGAACTTGCGGATGCATTGCTGAGTGGTAATTTACAGGCATTTGCTGCAGTGCTTCAAAGGCAAAGACAAGAAAGAGCTGATAAAGACATGCAAAGAATTCGCACCATGAATGCAGATCCATTTGATATTGACGCTCAAAAGCGAATTGCAGAGGAAATCCGTATGTCGAATGTCAATCAAAACATGGAAATAGCCATGGAATATTCACCAGAATCATTTGGTAAAGTTGTCATGCTATATATCAACTGTAAACTGGATGGACACCCTGTTAAAGCTTTTGTTGATTCGGGAGCTCAAATGACCTTCATGAGCTCGGCATGTGCAGAAAGGTGTAACATTATGCGGCTGCTAGATCACCGGTGGGCAGGGATTGCTAAAGGTGTGGGAACACAGAAAATTGTCGGTCGAGTTCATGTTGCTCAGATCCAGATAGGGAATGACTTTTTGCCATCTTCCTTCTCTGTCATGGAAGATCAACCTATGGACTTAGTGCTTGGGCTTGATATGCTTAAGAGACATCAGGTGAGATTTTGTGATCATATTACAGGGTGCAAATAATCTATGAAAAATTTCTGGTTGTAAAAAAAAGTTAAACTCTGTTTAAATAGGCATCTTTTCCCAACCCATGGTATCCTCTATCTCCCTGAAACCCAACCCTTAAACTACCAAGATCTAACAGTTAATTCTACCATCTAGCTGCTTCTCATTTCCTTGTAAAGTAGTTGAAAGAATTTGGTGTTAGATCAAGATTTACAACTTCTGCCTGATAAGTTTGAGTATTCTCATTATCTGTTTGCTGGATAATGTATGGAAACTATAGGGAGAAGTTACATGTTGATCACTTTTGGGAGTTAAGGGGTTAAAAGTAGGCTTTTGATAGTGTAATAAGAGAGTAGAAAATTATGGTTAATTTTTAACCTTCTGACTTCCATGAGTGACCAAGAAAGAATTTCTCCTTACAATATGATATTAAGCACACATTAATAAGTCAGAATAAAGAAACATATTAGTGAGGGGATAATTAGTTGATCCAATACCAAATTCTCCAAACTCACATCATATAAATTGTATAGCAGACAGTAAGGAGAATTGCTTTGAGATCTTGAGAATGAACGGTTCAAAAGAAAATCATGAAATAAGAAACAAGTACAGTCAGATACAAACAAATACTTTTTGAATGGGAGAAATAAAAATAAATTGGTTTTTGAAGTATACTTTTCCTATAAGATTAAGTAGTATCTTATCTCTCCTCACAGTATGAGCCCTGAATCAAACATTAAGGAAAAGAGAATAAAAGAAATGAGCACCAACTTATGAAGCTCTTGTTTTTGGATCAATTTCTCCTTGTCAGCACCTCAGGAAATGTATAGAGAACAGTATAGAGAATATGCATACTGATGTTAGGGTGTAACGGGTCAAGACCTTGCACAGTCCTGAGTATTTGGCAAAGAAGGTGAATGTCATGTTATTCACTGTAGCTGTGCTTCTTCTTACAGTGCTCTATTGACCTGAAAAACAATGTGCTGCGGATTGGAACCACTGGAACAGAAACTCCCTTCTTAGCTGAGTCTGAATTGCCATTGACTGATCGCCTGGCATTTAGTGATGAAGGGGAACAAAGGAGGAATGCTGAGGATAAACAGTTGGTTGAAATAGAAGACAAAGAGCTGGCAGAGGCAATGGAACAATCAGCTAAGGAGGCAGCTCAAGGAAACTCTTCCAAATCTTGATAATAGTCTTTATTATTAGTTTTGATTTATGAAAGCAAACCACTGTCTACTGTCTACTCTGAAAAATGTGCTGCCTTCTCTGGATGCTTGTGACTCATAGAGCCCTTACCTGCGAGGGGAGGGGGGGGGTGTGTATCACAGTCTGGTTCCTTTAAATCTTTGACAAACATGTAGACATTAGTTTGGATGGAGCAAGTATTACAAATCTACTTCTCCTCTTGAAGAATTAGTGTTTGGTGTATTTCATTTTAAAAAAAGGTTTTTTTTCAAAATCTAGATGTTGATGCTCTTGTTTTATACAGAAAGTGAGTTAAAAAATAACTACCATCAGCAAAAAATTAATTAATTAATATTGATTATTATAATTACTAAAGTTAGTCATATTTTTGTTTGTGATAGGTTCTGCATTTAAAACCCTCCTAGAAAACCAGGTTGAAAGATGCATGCTGTGATATTTATTTAGTTCTGGCCCTATTAATTTTCAAAGAATTATATTTTTAAAATAAATAATGGTTTTTTCAACTGAGTTACTGACAACAAAAACAAAGCTCAGGAAAGGGTTGCATACATTTAGGAAAAAAATTTGAATGGACTTGTCATTGAACTATGATATATGATTGGGTACTAATAAGCCTCAAGTGCTGGAAAAGAAGAGAATGAGAGGTGGATCTTGCATCAAGGCACTTCTTCAATATGAAGTCTAATGTGACAGGTTGTTAGAGAATTGTGACATTTTCATAAATACACAAAATGCTTTGTGTGTGTGTGAAGATTTTGAGAGAATGCAGTTTGGGTTTATTTTTAATAATAAAAATCTGTATTTAAATCTCTTTTGTTTTAGTTGGCAAGTTTAAAAAAATTGTCACTGAATAATCATGTAGTGCATTATCATCTCTCAGTTAGTACACGCACCATGATTGGTCAATTTAGCAGGCCCTATTTTACTGAAAGGCACACTACATTCAAAAGTTTTTTTTTGAATTGAAATTTTCCCCTTCCATTTAAACCCAGAGATAAAATAAATATCTTACTACCCTTAACTTGTTGGTCTGTACTACAAGTTACAGAAAATTTTATTATTTTTGTTTTTTGCTGGGAATCAAGGCCTAAGTGCAAAGCCTGCAGGTCAAATTTGAGCAGAAAAGGCTCAGTCTTTAACTCACAGTAGAAACTTCAACTCGGTTAGTAGATGGTTTATGTATGTTTATCTAAATCCTCTATCTGAGGGTGTGGTTCAAGCTGAAGTCAGGGTAATTTTGCTGTGTTTTTGGGCAAGGCACTTCTCTGACTCCCAGTACCTCTTCCAATGCAGCAGTTTTTTTTAAATGGCCAAAAACTGTCAGAGAAAACTGACAAAATACAGGGGAAACTTGTCGCTGGACTGGTGAACCATTTAGGTGAAGTAGCGATGCTTTTGATTGGGGGTTTATCAATTATTTGTCACAAAAATGTACAAATAATAATAATAATAAAAAAGAATACAGTAGTATTGGTATCGCAGAGGTCATGGGTTCAAATCTCATAGGGACCTGAATTTTTTCATGCCCTAATTTCACTACTAGTTAAGTAGTATTCATAACTGTGAGGATTGCTTCTATTTTTGTTTCTTCAACCGCAGTTCACATATATGATACTTGTATATTTTCGGTCATGAATTCACCACTTGGTGGGTTTATTTGTAACCTACATAATGATCAGTTCCCTGTTGGCTTGTTAGCTCAGTTGGTAGAGTACTGCACCAGTATCACAGAGGTCATGGGTTCAAATTCTGCATGGGCCTGACTTTTTTTTAAGGCCTTATTTTCACTACCAGTTAAAGTAGTATTCATAACTGCAAGGATTGCTTCTCTATTGTTTAAAAAAAAAGGTTTGACAGGGGGCAGTAACAGGTAAAGGTCCTAATGGACAACTGCCTCCCTATATTATAATAGGAACCATGCAAAAATAATAAAAATTGTGAGTAAATGGGCAAATGGAAAAAAAAAATTTTAGTCTCAATGAGCTAGATAAAGGTGGTAAATATGATGATAAAGGGCCTTTGTAATTAATAAAAAATTTTGTAAGATTGGCAGTTCTAGAGGTTCTTAGCAAGTTTGTTCCATGTAATCACAGCTCATGGGAAGAAAGAATATGCAACATAGTTTTGTTTTTGCTCAGCCTTAATTTCAAAATCATTTGGGTCAAAGTTGTGTTGTACATCCTCTTGACAGTTAATGGACATCGAACCAGAGAGAAGAAAGGAGAAGATTGAATAAGACAGGAAGACATTTTAAGAAGGGGGCTTACTAGAGAAATGGAATATCTAAAGGGTAGTGCATTTTAAAAAGTGGGGCTTGTCAGAAAGGGGCTCATTACAGAGGGCGTGGCCTTATTGTAGGGTCCTTAATGTAAGGAAGGACAAGTTCTGAAAACTACTTGTGCCAGTTTTAGATTCAGACTACCTTAAAAACAACTTTACAGTAAAGCTGAGCTGTATATGCACTTTTAATTTGAGTAATGCTTGCTGAGAAATCCTTAGCATTTAAAAAAAATATATAAAATGACAGACTAATTCTAACAGTCCAAACAGTGGAGTTGTACTTTGATGTCTTTCCACATGACATTGTTTTTCAATTAAAAAAGAGAAAAAAGAAAGGTTACCATGATAATCATAATTGGAAACTATAAGTCTGCACAGATTCTTACACTTAAATATTCTTAACTTGATAACCACAGGGAATCTAAAATTGGTACCACTGACAGTGAGGACACTTCCCATACAGTTTTAAACCAAATTATCAAGTTGTGTCAAAAACAAAATGTTTGAATGTGAGTGGTTCTTAACAGCCTTTATTTATGACCTAATAGGATGTTTCAAGTCAAATTTCACCTGTCTGATTACAAACACTTGTAGTTAGACAGGCTGAGTCAAAGAAAATTATGCACTTTCCGCCATTAACCAATAAAAAAAAACTACATAACCTAGCCAAGGCTAGCCCATCAAATGAGGAAAACTTCAAAAGTAAACAGGTTGACAGATTCACATTGAAAACACACATGAACAAAAACAAAAATGATCCAATGACTACCATTTGAATATGTATTCCTCTGATTCTGATGAGCATTTTTGGCATTAGATTAAATTTTTCATTACCAAGTTTCTCACATTTTGTCATTGACACAATTAATCACTAATCGCACTTTGTGTCATACACAATTTAGACGTAATTGTGCTTGTAATTTCAAATCAACCCCACACTATGAAGCTGGCCAAATTTGATATCACTTGCCCAATTATTACCTGAATTGTACTCCACTCAGTCAGAGCTACCATAACAAATCAACAGCTAAGTGTTACAATCTTGACACTGAATGAGTACCAAATGCTGGTCAATTTAAAAAAATTATGAAAACTTTAAATGGAGGCCAGTACAAAATTGACACATAATTGACACAAAATTGAAGGTAAAATGATTCTAACTAACACAATACTATTTACAGATTGAATAAGCACGGAAGTACAGGGAAGAAGTCATGCGTTTAAGTTTGAAGACATTAGTAGACTTTTAAGCTTAACTTAGATGCATTCAAGGAACAAAAAGCAAAAAGGAAAAAAACACCTTGTACATTAACCAAATCCATCTGCATTTCTTTCAAGCAATCACTAACTCCAAGAGTTATTCAGAATTAGGCATGATGTTGCACATAAAATTTCTAACCCTTAATATATCATCATAATTAAATTTTAGTCCTTAAATCATTTTTTAACTTAATTTACATTTGAAAGATACCTCATACATTCAACAACACAACACAGTTCTCTTCCTTTAAAAACAAGTAACAATACTTAATTACTTACAAAACTTACCTATCAATAAATCTTTACAATAGCTCTGGACACAACTTGCTTTGTGCAATTCATATTAGAACATAAGAATTTCAGAGCCAAATGTCTGTGAAACAAAACCCTTCCTTTAGGAAAGATTTCCCACTACACAAAATAGCCTGGAGTCCAACTGTATGTGCACAAGTGGTTTTACAAATAATTTTCAAAGTGCTGCTTTAATTCAGTACAATTCTACACATGTTCTTACTTATTGAGAGCTCTTTGCCAGAATGCCTAAAAAGTTTGTCTCTTTTTGTAGGTGCTCAATTAGATAAAAAATAGCTTAATATTAGAGAATTCCTATTTTGAAGTTTTGTATTGTTATGTTTTTGAAAAAAAATCCAGACCACTGTTTTTTTCTGTACAAAGTAATAACATTATTTTTAAGTTAGTTTCACACAAAAGTAAAATTGCATCTAGTAGGCACAAAAACATCATCTTTCAAAATTAGCTGCATGCCGTATATAAAAAGTTCCTTTTAATTTGCAAAATTGCAAAAACGACTGATTCAGTTCTACAAGCCTTTTAACCATACCTATTTTAAAATCCAATTCTATTAGCACTTAACTGAACTAGACTATGTTTACATGCTAAGAAGCTCAGACACTGTTTGTTGATTCTTGAGGATGTTGTCAGAAGTGTATAGGTTCTCCTGATGGCCCAGGGATGTTGACCTTCAACGTAACTGAGTACAACGCCAGGGTACCAAGACCACATACAACAACTACTACAACAAGAGCTTTAGCTGAAGTTATGAGGGAGGCTCGGAATTTCACCGGAGCCATAATACACAACAAAGCTACACATATTGTGAGGGTAAAGAAAATTGATACAGCAGTGTTGATGGCTAAAATCTGGCCAAACTTGGCAAAGAGCTGAATCACTGTCATGCACAGAGGTATTGATGCCACCACTGTTGTAATGGCAGAGCTGAGGATGGCAGTGCCAATATGCGACACAGCAGCTCGTGTTCTCCAGCCACGTATTTCCTGTCACAAGAGAATAAAAAATACTGTTAAAAACACCCACTAACAAAGGCTCATCCTGAATGTTAATAAGTCAAGAACATATCCTTGAATAAATTCTCCAAAAAAAATTTAAATATCCAATACATGAACACAGGCCAGAGATACTCAAAATAAAAAAAAGTCCTATCACAGTATTTCGGCCAAGAATACTACCAAGTAAGCCAGCCAGGACTTCTGGACCCAAAGTCCAGTGCATCAACCATTAGTTCACAACATCTCTACAAGATCTTGGACATAAAAAGTATCAATATGTCTGTTTGCCATCTCTCTCTATTCTATTTATAAACATGACACTATCAACATTGCTGATCCTAGCAGTATGCAGGATGTGTGTCATATGAACTTTGTAATAGACCTCTCTCACCGTGGAGTCTCTGTGGCTCAGTGGTAGAGCATCAGAGTGGGAAATCCAAGGTCTGAGGTTCGATTCCTCATGGGGACTCAGATTTTTTTCTTTGTCCCACACTCGTGAGAAGACAAAGAGCATTTTTCTTTAATGTCTGTTTACTTCACACAAACCTTAGAAGAGCTGAGATTCTGTGGCATACAGTTTCCAGCCATAATGTAACCCTCTACCAAATGAACGCAATAATCAACCGATGTGCCAACCAAAATAGATAAAGAAATTGCTTCCACTGCTCCAAGATGCCATGAAAGCAGGTAAAAAATTCCCACAACTGTGGTCAGGACACCTGTCAGAAAGAAAGCCATCAAAGAAGTCTTTGTGTGAGATCCTTCAGACTTCCCTGTACAGAACTGCCACAAGCAAACAACTCTTCTATTTTAGGACTTTGAAATTCCATCCAGCTATCACTCAAGTCAAATCATGCACTGACAGACTTCAATTGCTGCTTTTAAAGAGAAAATTGATTTCAACTTTTTAGAGAGAATTTAATTTCTTATTTGACATCTAGAAGTGAGTATGTATATTCTAACTGAACAATATGGTACCTTTAATCTAGAAAGCCCCTTTGGGAGGAGTACAATACATCTGTAAGTTCAAAATGAATGTATGTATGTTTAAAACTGTGTGGAAGGCAATGTGAAGGACTGAATTTTAGAGTTTGGGACTGAGGTTGGGTGAACTAATTCCCGACCCAAAAACTCACACACAGCCCCAAATCATTGCCTGTGATGTAAATCAAAGACCAAATTAGATACCAACAAGTTGATGACATACATACCTACTATGGTGACCATTACAATAAAGGTCAAACAAGCGTTGGCCGTGAACACAGCCACAGAGAAAACACATAACATAAGTGAAAACACTGTGCCATAGATTGCACTGTTGACAGCCACAACTTCAATGAACACATTCACCCATTCTTGATTTGTTTGGAAAATTGACTTGAATCCCTCAGGAAATGATGGAGAACTGATAATGTCTTTCAAAAAGCTGTCCCATTTCTCAAAATCTTCAACTTTTTCATGCGATGACTTGCCTTTGAAAATTTTCTGAAGAAAAAATGAAATGCAACCATTAGAAAATAATAACATTTTTTGAAATTAGGAAGGTAACTAAAGAGACACTCTCAACACGGCCACCATGATTGCAGTCTGCAGGACTGAAAACAAAATAATGACAACACATAGAGACAGTAGCTTAGTCTTGTACCCAGACCTTCCACAGCCAAGTGGTTGTATTTTCAGTTACAGTTACACTGAAGGATCTGGGGATGAGATAAGAGGCAGCTAGCACACTCCCCCAGACCCCTTCAGGATCCAACAGGCTACTCCAACAGACATTACCATTACCTGTCTAAATCAAATGCAAAACTGATCACAAAACACTGTGTAAACTTCAACATTATCAATGCACAAAAAAACAAAAAGGGAGCCTTGTTTGTTCTTTAAATGTCAATGGTGACATCATCTGTGCGTCTGTCCTCAATCATAATGTGCTTAGGATTCCATCAGCTTTTCATATAATTTTGGTTTGAGTACTTGAAGCCTTAAGAAGAAGCACTCACCAGGCTTCAAGATTCTACCCATGGACTTGGGGTTCCTTGGGCCAGGAATTAAACCAAGAAGGCCTTACAAAATGTGGTGGGGTTACCCCTTTACAGACTAGCCTACCTTTCAAGGGGAGTTTACAATACTCTTCCATTGCTTCATGCCCTTAAAACTGGGATAAGTTTTTCAAGGTTGGCCCTTCTGACCTTCAATCCTCTTTTAACTCACATCACAACTTACCGATTCAAAAGCCATTTTCATCCAGTATGTCTTATTTCCGTAAGGATTCTTAATATCCATATAGTACATCTTTGCCTGAGAAGACCCTGAGCTAAAAGTTGGTTTAGTTAAGTTAAAACAGTCTTTGTAAAAAACAGATGAATGACCATTAATGCTGATATCATCCAGGAAGAAATCCCACATCCAGCTGGGGAAGCAATCTGCTCCTCCTTCTCTAACAAGCTCATGATTGTTGCTTATCATTTTGCACAGGTGGCATGCAGCACTGACAAATTTGGATCTTTCTGAAACCAACTTTGTGAAACTAAAGTCTGGAATAACTTCCCCCTACAAGAGAAAATGAATATTTATGCATTATTTTTAAGGAAAAATGAAATATGTCTCTGCATTAATTTAATTTGTCATAATAAACTCTACACTGTTAGGGTTTTTTTTTTTTGTTTTTTTGTTTTTTTGAATGTTTTCGTAATGGAATAAAGTAAATGATAAAACATTCATGTCTGTATGAAAATTTGCTGGAGAATTCATCGGGGTATAAAGCAGAGCTGTCAGTAAGAGCCACAAGCCATCCAAACCTGGCACCTGGTTTGACATGAATGACTGAATGACTGAATGCATAATTTAACAGGGAAAAGTTATTCCACAATTAGAATTTGCTCAAAGGTTTGTGTGACCTTCTTGGAGCACTTGGGACAATTGAACCACAAAGTTACCAGTCTTGTCTGTAATTCAATATCTAAAAGCTTTGTAGATATTGTCACTAACCTAGTAAATAATAAATACTTTTGTCTTTAAGATAGAGCTTACCAACAAACATTTCAGTCCCTGAGGTGGCTATAACTAAATAATTACCGGTAATGTCCAAAAATACACATACTCAAATTTACAGAAAATCATCTGTCCAAAATTGTTCAATAAAAATTATGCCTTTCATTCAACATCATGGAGCATCAGTACGTCCATACCTTCTTTTCAATAACATGCTCTCGCCTGATCATGCTACGATCAATCTTACTCAGGCCAAGGATCACAAAAATAACCGCTGATGAAGCCACAATGGGTTTCGGGACTGGTTTGCACCCTCCAGGACACAGTGGGGGTGTGGTTGGTGTGCCAATAGCAATTGGTGAATGAATGTCATCCCCAGAATCACCTGATGTGTTTGAAAAATGACATCAATTTTATTTGCCTGCTTGATTAATCAATACTCCAAACAATTTTTGAATAAATTTAATGTCAAAGAAGTCAAAAGCAAGAATCCATACCTTCATTTGACTCTTTCTTTTTGGTCAGGGGTTTGTCTGAAAATTTAACAACAGACAAAGGACGAACAATTTACAAGACTCGATTCAAATATTAACCATGCAAGCAACATAAAAAGTAGTAAATAAATTCCTACCTTTGGTTGCCTTTTGTGTTGGTGTAAACTTCCTTTCTGTCCCTGATTGGTACATAACAAAAAGTCAAACATTACCAACAAAGTTGAAACGTGTTGAAAGGCTGAAAAATATAACTGTCAATTTTTTCTGGATACTCCTCACTGAACAAACAAAGGATAAATTAACACTCACTTGGTTTTTTCGTACTACGAACTGTAGGTTTTTTGGTTGGAGAGCTGCAATAAGCAATTTTATATATATCAATGGACAAACTTAAAACAACAGAATCAGACGCAGGAACACTCTACAACAACTAAAAGTTAAAATACTACAACTGATGCCCAGCTCAGAGAAAAATTGCAAGATGGCCTAAGCATAGGGATCTTCTTGATTTAACCTTTTCCACTCTAACATCAGCTTTCATATTCTCCAAACTGTTTTCTGTACACTTCCTTAGGTGTTGACATGGAGAATTTGTCAAACAATTAAGAGTTTCTTTAGTTGGTGATCATTTCCTTTATTCTCAAGAAATTGATGTGAAATTCTGGGGTTATATTGTAAAGAGAAATTAAATGCTAGTCACTCTAAGTGTTGAAATGGATAAAAGTCAAGCAAATGCTAGGAGGGAAGCTACGTCTTACAGAAGTAATTCACCTCAAGCCTACACACTGACTCACCCAGAGCTAGTTTTTTTCTGCGAACTTGCTGTTGTTGGTTTCAATGTCTTCCCTTTTGGTATAGGAGTTGTCTTGGAATTTGGAGGTTTGACTATACCCTCTCCCTTTTTTTTGTCTCCTGAAGTGTCTGGAGTCTTAAGTGCTGGGGTTGATTCAGATATTGGTGAATTACTCTGAGTTGTCACCATGAGCTTTTTTGTGGTTGGTGTAGGGTTATCGATGTCGTTTGACTGTTGAAATTCATTCACAAGCTGATCGGCAGCAATGTCATTTGTGTCTAATGATTCACTGCTCATGTTATACTTCAGCTCTATAAGTTGCTGCAAATTAGTGCTTTCCTTGAAGAACGCTGGTGGCTTGGTAGACGGTCGGATTTGTGAGTCAAAACCAATGGACACACCCAGGATTAAAATAAAAAGAACTAGAACGATATAACGGCACTTTTGTATTGGAACAGCAAGCCAGTAATACAGAAATGACTGTAGCCCACATCGGCAACGACAGCAACTGCTACTGTGACTTTGATGAGGCAGCCCTTGTCTTGATTGGAAAGACCTCCTGTGCACTAGGGGTGCTTGTTGATCAAACGTACCATTGGGATCATCAAACATGGTCAAGTCAGTGTCACTTGAACTAGGAGATGGGCTTTGTGAGTTAGGGGAACTACTGTCTAAGTTGATCAGCGAGGTGTCGTCCTCCTGAGAGAGTGATCTATCAGCAAGTTCCATTACTTGCGATGCTGATGATGATGAAGCTTGCTGAGAATAACTCCTCTCATTTCCCGACAGAAACTGCTGAATGTCACCTGCAAATAGATGTCATCATTAACCCTTAAACTCCGACGATATAATGGTTGATTCTCCCCTCTACATACTGCATATTTCCTTATAAGTCAGCTATAAAAATTTTGTTTTAGGTAAAGAAAAAACTTCAGCCAGGGAATTTTCAGCAGGCTCAAAAGGTTATACCACTGAATTGCTATTTCTGACTGATAAAGAGCTGATTCTCTTGACGAGGAAGTACTTAGCTGCTTAAATTCCTGAAGAAATTCACTAATCAAGGGCTGTTTCTCATAACTCCCTGTAACTTTACAAGCCTGATCTAATGTTAAATGTTATATAATTCTTCAAAAGTCTTTGCACCAACAAATTTTCAGCAGGTTCAGAAGGTTATACCACTGAATTGCTATTTCTGACTGATCAGGAGCTGATTCTCCTGACAAGGAAGTACTTAGCAGATTAAATTTCTGAAGAAATTTTCTAATCAAGGGCTGTTTCTCATAACTTCCTGTAACTTTATGAGCCTGATATAATGTTAAAAAAATTTAGTTCTATTGAATTCTTTGAAAGTATTTGCACCAACATTACTCCAACCTGTTTTTTCATCCTGATATTTTTATTGTTTGTATTTCAAATCTGTCTAAATCTTGATTATGAAAGAAACACAGCAAACAAAATCCTGCTCTATGGGCCTGATAAGTTACCACATCTTTCAAAAGAATGAGCCCCATATATCAAGAGGCACTGAGAATAACCATAAGTTATTATTAAATACTTACCAGGCAAATCAGAACGTCCACTCCCCAAGGCGCAATTCAACTTCCCGAAAATCATTTTATATATCAATACTTCCCATTTTGAAATGTAACGATGCCAAAGGGTGAGAGCTGGGGGAATGGTAAAAAACACTGTAAACCAGCAGCTGCCCACTATCAGCCCCATAAACAAGCCAAAATCACGGATAGCTGGCATCTATTTGACACATAAAGCAACTGTTAGTATTTTGGAACAAGTTAAGGCAGCTCTCTTTACGAAAATGGGCAACTTTTGATGTGATTGTGCTGGTATCCTCACAGCCTCTGGCAGAGTGCCAGAATAAAATTAAACTTAAGTGGAATATTGGTTGCAAATTGTGCAACCAAAAAATGTTGACTTAAGGCTGACAGTTGTGTCTGATTTGAAATATGTCTTTTGTAAAATATAATAGTTTGTTTCACTTAGTCATATTGATAATTTGTATTTTTATAAACATCTGTGAAAAGTGGGATTCCTAAAGTTGGGAGTACTGTAAAAACCTCCAGATAAGCTGCACTTTTTCTACAAAAATCGTTGCTAGAAATTGAGGGTGCAGCTTATCTGCGGGAACATTTCCATTTTCACATCGGATCTAATGCCTGGTTACTAAGCTTCAAATGTTCCGCTCACATTCTTGTTGTAATGCAAAAATCTATGAAAAAACTGTGTTGAATGAAGAAATTCCTATCAACAATTACCAGAAAAAGATCAATCATATGTCAAAGTTGGTAGAAACAATATTCACATTGAAGTACTAAAATTGTGGGTAAGACTTTGAAGTATTTTCCATTGCAATGTTAATAGTGAGTTTATGTTCAATGAACAGTGAATGAAGAAGACTCCTCAAGACTCAACTTTGGATTACTTTTGATTTCTTTCAAAAAACCTTTTTTCCAAAATTTGAGTTGCTAAATTCAGGGTGTGGCTTATCTGCAGGTGTGGCTTATCTGCAGGTGCAGCTTATCTGCAGGTGCAGCTTATCTGTGGATTTTTATGGTAATACATATCTCATAGAGCATGCTAATCATTCTTTAGAATTTTAGAGAACCTAAATAACACTGACTTGTTTTCAGTTTCCCTCAACCATCGCCAGAAAAAAGAAAAAAAAACCATAATGCGTATATGAAAAAATTGCACCACTGGTTGCCAATGACTAAGCAAACAAATCCTTTTAAGGTTCCTGAGGGTATCTGCAAACAGTGGTTTCAATAACTTTTTCCATAAATGGCTCTGCATAATAGAAAACCCTAATCACAACAGCCTGCTCCCAGGCTAAGCACTGAATGTGGAAAGAGGTCTTACAGGTGATAGTAGACTACAGGTAACCTGCTCTTTTTGATACCCCTGTGCTAATAAGACCTTCACCCTCTCTGTAACTCTAACCCACCTTGGAAAAGCAGTTGGCAAAAAAAGCCATTGCTGTGGTAAATGATGTGAAGAAGGTTGCTTTGCCTGCTGTACATATGGTATGCAGCATGCGTGATTCCAAACTTCTTGCACTGTGTGCTTGACAGAAAGTATTGACAAAGACAAAGACATCATCCACTCCAATACCGATAATGATGAATGCTGAAATGCCACTAAGAATGCCAAGACTTGGGACTTGAAACACATGACGGAAAAAGAAATAAGCCACGAAAAGAGGAGTCACAATACTGATAATTCCGAAAAAAGTTAAAAAGAGGGAAAGTCGCGTGAAAATGAGCACAAAAATTCCAACAAAAGCGATGGTGAACACTGCTAACTTGATGTCTGCCCATAGTGTCTTATTCACTTCATAGTCAAAGACATCTGTTCCACCATAGAGCAATCTCACTTTGCTGTTGACAAAAACAAAGATAATGTAACTCTAAGAGGTGAGGTATGCTCTACAAAGTTTTGTGATTTTTGCTGCTTAAAATCTTCTTTGGAAAACTAGTTATTTGAATTTCTTTGAAAAGAAAATTTTCATTCATACTTTCTCTTTATGCTTTTTAATGGCAAAGACAAATATTGAAAAGTTTCTGGATCACTTTTCTTCCCTGAGTTTTCTTAAGCATATTCTAAAGATATGGTACATCACCGTATCATATAGTTAACATTTTAACTTTCATGAGTGTTCAAGACAAAATTTCTCCTTACAATATCAATACAAAATCAAGTAGACAAATGATAAGAGTAATTAAAAATATCAATTACAGGATCATTAGTTGATCCAATGTCAATTTCGCTGAATTAAACACAAAAAGAATCATGAGCTAGACAATAAGGAGAATTACCAATGAGATCTAGGGAGTGAGAGGGTTGATATGGTCAACTCTAAAGCCAAGATCTAATCAGTAACCCTCCATTCTACCTGTTATGAAATTAATAAGATACAAGATAAAATTACTCAGTTCTGCTTGGTTAAGATAAATGCAGTTTTCAGGTAATTCAGTGCAGAAGAGGGTTAATTCAGTGCAAAGATGTAACAAACCAGACTGAACAATTCCTTGAACTGTTCAGCCAGACTATGAAATTTTTTGTGTCTAAAGATGTGAAAATATCATTTATGTATTTTTTTTGTTTTGATCGTACGCAGTTGTTTTGACCGAATGCATAATGTCACTTGCAGGGTTTGAATTTAGTTATTTTTGCACTTGCTGCACTGCTTTGCTTCTGCATAATTATGATGAGCTATCTCATATTTTTTCATGTATACTATTAATACATAATCACATGATTTTCCCTTGTGCAATTTGGAATAAATAAGCACTTGCTAATTTTTTTCAAAGACCACAAATTGCACTCACTCTATGGGCTCATGCAATTTTGTTGGTCTTTGCTAAAATTCACTTGTGCTTATTTATTCCAAATTGCACTCGAAATCTTGTGATTACCTAGACAAATATTCTTGTGAATTAGTTGAGATAATTTGGTATTGTCTTCATTCACCAATTGTTTGCAAAATAATGCATTTGAAGCAAAGGAGGTAATTCCAAGCAATACAAAGTGATGCCATTGTAAGTGAAAACATATATTAACATACAAGTGGTTTCTGTGTTCAGAGGTGCAAATCTTTTGAACAACAAGGCCAGACTCCCTGCATCACCTCTGCCATTTAATATTCTGAATTTTGTGCAAAAACTTTCCTTGTTGCTTTTGAACGCTAATTGCTCTGTGTCATCATCCAATAAGATTTTAAAGAATTGATGCACATGACTACAATACTGGCCAGAGGTCCAGTCCTAACAATAGCATCTTCCCTAAGGCACCCTCTGTGTTGACAATCAACAACTAATGCTTACAAATCTTCCAGAATAGATTGTAGCAGACTGAAAAGGTGCTAGGCTGTTACTCTCATCCCTAAGAATTGAAACTCGTGACCCTTTGTTTTTATACATTGTTTGCTATTGTTGACAGCAATTTGCATATCGACTAAACACCAGATTAGAGTACGATTGTTCAATTTTACTCCTAATGCTGGATATTTTAATGAAAAAACTCAAACGAGGAAGAGAGGAAATTTGCATTCAAATTATTCGATATGATGGGAATTCGCGTCCGAGTTTTCACCTGTGCAGCTGCAAGTGATGGATCGAGCTTGCTGTACAAAAGAGTTCTGAAAAATATTGCTCGCAAACGAAATGGTATATTTTTCCACGCTTGAACAATAGAAAATGATAAAGCATTTTCACGATATTGTAGAATAAGGAAATTTGAGAGTTTGAGAGCTTTAGGCTGAAGATGTTTTTTGAGAATAGAACCTTAATTCTCTAACCAGAAAGCGTCATAAGGGTTTACAAAACTCGCGATCTAAATAATAAACCGCCAACTGAATAACCAACCGAATAACCAACCGAATTAACCTACTTTACGTGCCGATCACTTCAAGCAATGTCAATATAGCAATTGTATCATGCTTCAAAGAGCTTTAGATTGCAACTAAGGAAAAAAGGAATTTCTAGATCAATCCACGCAAAACTGACAAAAATCGCTATGCCGTAAATATATGAATTACATAATAGTTGTACTTACTCTGTTGACATCTTTTTCATTGCTTCAATGTAGCTCTTCAAAAAATTCTCGTACCGATCTCTTTCTTTACGGTTGGTGCCATCCGGCTTCAGAGGAGAACCAAATTTCATTTCTGCTCGTAAGAATCGACTCTTCAAGTTATCCTTCGAAAAAGAGTCGTCGACAAACCAATACGTAAATGTTTTTGTAAGCAGAAGCTTTAAGGTGTTCTGAATGCTGGTTTCTGTAAGGTTCTTGATTACAGTACCATCTTCGTTCCTTCCCTGTCCGTCGAATATTTCTTTTTTGAGAAACTCAGATCGCGAGGGATAAAAGAAATTTATAAGAGAAATTGGAGGGACACAGTGATCATCTAGAAAAGGGTCAGCTCTTGCTTCTTTCCATTTCCAGCAGTAGTCGTTGAATCCCGGCTGCGACATAAGACTCTGGTCTATTGCATGGACGGTTTCGAGTCTTTCTTTAGTGAACATGTTCAGGTCGTCGTCCCCTATGGCAAGATAGACTAACTCCAACCTCCATCTCGGTTTTGTTTGATAAGAAGTCTTTTCTGTCGGTTTTTCGTCTAGAGCCCTCGCAAATCTTTTACGTCTCAAATTAGGAAGTTTCTTCTGCGTATGGGAATGGCTTCCAGCAACCTCAACCATGTCATTTCGTTCAGAACTTATATGTCCCGGGATTTCAAATGACTCTATAGATTTGTCTATAACCAAACAATCACCGTTATTGCAATCAGGAATAACCACAACGAGCGCCAAAACGACGGGAATTAAAATTGCGAAGAACAAAACCAACGAAGAAACAGCTGGATGAACATAGACCCTCGTAACCCGGAGTAAAAAATTGTCAATACAGTAAGTTTTACTGTTACAGCGAGAGAGGAACGCTCGAAACGACGTGAATGAAGTCTTCGGTTGACGATAAGACAAGGACGGCTCTGTTAAAGAAGGGTCCATCTGGGATTGGCCTCCACCAAACTCTAGATTCGCGTCATCATGCCCAACGAGGAGCTTTGATAAGTCATCGCTGTCTTTCCTCGAATGTCTAGCTTGCATGTTCATGTTGCTATGTTTCACAAATCGCTCGCTTCTGTTGGCCTGAAAACCTTCGTAACTCAACTAAAAGCTAACATAAATAGGCCTCAGTGTTTAGTGACTCTCAGTTCATCCTCAGAATAGGTGATTTTGCATATTACATCACGAAAGCTCTCACGATGTCTCCAACTCAAACTCAAACTATTTGTTTAGCCAGAGGTTATCTGACTAGAGCCGGGACTTTTGTTATGAACAATTCATCACGTGACTTGTATTTATTTTCGTTTTCGTTCGCGTGATGATGTAAGGGTCAAATTTCACTGAGGGAATAAATCTCTCTACCTAGGGAATTTTGCTAAAAATACGAGTTATTGTCTTACATGACAAAGAAAATGGATGTTTAATAGAATATTAATTCAAGTGCGAATCAACATCGCTTCTGTTTGGTGAAAAACGATTTACAGCATCTGGCACGGAAGCACGAAACGCAGCTATGTCAATCGGCCAACAAAAGGCTCTTTGAAGTTTTCTCTTAATCACTGTTGATGAGAGGAAAGACGTAGGCTGGATTTTGGTGTGGTTATCCGGGGAAGAGTCAAAATCTCCTTTTGCAGTCCTTGAAATGTATTTGATGAATATTGAAACAAAAATGAAGTTCTTTATTAATGTTATTTGTACTTTTTAAATGTACAGATTCCCAAAATGAGATACTGTAAAAATATAGCCTTTGAATGACAGGGTGCGTCCATTAAAACCGCAAGAATAGATATCAGGAATGCACGGACACTTGGTAAATCTTAAATTTCTCTCAGCCTAGCAACGATGAGATTACTCTGAAAATTAAAAGATGTTAGAATTTTTCATTTAAGTAACCCGAAACAGTGCAATGTTAGCAACATAAATTCATTGACAGTGAATTAACATTGTTTTGTTTTGTTTTTTTTTTACTTTTTTAAATATTATTTATAGCCGAGACTCTTTAAATAGAAAACAAAGAGAGTAAACTGCTTCGAAGATTTTAAAAATATGCAAGCTGGTCAAACAAAATTAAAAGGCTTTAATTTCGTTAAACTAAAATTGGAATCTGAGAAAGGACTGGTTAGGCTTCTAAAGTCTCATGAAGACGTCAGTTTCCTTTGCTGTGATTAAATCATTTCAACTGCGAGTTGTAGTCGTCTGTTCAGTCTCCTAGTTACGCTGAGAACTTCCTCCACTGCTGAAAAAAAAGATTCTTAGTCACGTCTCATTTAGCGGAAGAACACTGGCTACAACCCCTTGACCCTAATAGTGACTAGCATCTAATTTCTCCCTACACTGATTTATTAGACAAATTCTCCTTGCTAGCCCTGTAGGAAATGTATAGAGAACAGTATGAAGAAAATGTATACTGATGTGAGGGCGTGAGGGGTTAATTCGACTTCAAAAAATCCTTAGGCGCGAAGACGCGCCGGCGCCGTCAACTGCCACGGTTGGTGGTAACTAGAGACCGTCCGCGGTCAACCCGTTTTTGTTCACCGAAGCTTCTTTATGACCTTGACTTAATGCAAACCCGATAGGAACATTTTACGGGATGATTACGAAAAAAGCGAACGGGAAATATGCAAGCTGAGAACCGGAAACGCTCTCTGAGATCCTTTAGGTCTTCCCAAGGGACGGAAAGTTCAGTTCATTGATATAAAACCCAATTTTCCTTGCGTCTTTTGCAAAACACATCGAAATCATTCGTGAAGGACTCCTTGTGCTCTCTCACAGTGTGAGCGCAAGATTGTGTAAAGAGTGTGACCCAATTTTCGAGTGAGTTCATTTCTTGTACTCCGCGATGCCCAGTTAACGCGTGAAATGGTTGTTACGTACGTCGATTAGCGGCGTCAACTTATCGCTAAAGAACTTTCCCCGACTAGGTGTTGTTTTAGTTCCAGCTGTGGTAAAAGGACTGTTTCACCTTTGTTTTTACATTTTTCCTTCGCTTCATCAAAAAGGAATAAAAGAGAACTTGAAAACGTTAGAAACGTTCAACGTAAAAGGTATTTCAAGTGACTTCAGTGGTAGACAAACAACCATCTGCTGTTAAGGGAAAAACAATTATGACAAATGTTCGGTAGGGGGTCCTTGTCGATTTATGATGGTAATACAGGGGGGTAAGCCTAAGAACCAGGGTCATGATAATTTCTTTCACAAAATATTAAGTGAAGCCGCTACACTTCTCCCCACAGGAGGGCAATTTGCGATTACGCAGTTATGTGCAGAGTTTTCACAGGGAGGTGGAACAAAAACTCGCACATGGCAAAGGAGAAAATAATAATTTAAAAGCAGTATTTCGCTTGTAAAACAGCCGGCACGCTGAAACAGAGAAACAAGTTTTTACGATCCTTGGATGATGACAGGCTTGAGGGCAGTTTACGATTGCGCAGGTGTATGCAGAGTTTTTTCACAGGGGGGGGTGTCGAACAAAAGTATGTCCATAGAATTTGGGAACGTGCTATTTTTGAGGTAGCATCTCATGGATGTAAGGACCAACATGGGGGCTATCATCTGGCATTGTTGCCCGTTTCTAGGCATCACTCATCGTCACAACATTTAACTGCTCATTAGTAAGCATCAACCACCGTCATTACCCGTCAATCCACGTCATCACTCATCATACGCTTCATTGGGTATCATTCACTGTCACGAAGCATTATTCCCATAATTGAGCTACGCTGATCTCGACTAGGCATCATTTAGTCTCAACGATCCACACACTACCACCTAAATCCGCGAATGATTTCTAACGTATAGCAGTTTTCATTTGGGTTTCACTCAAACACTAAAATGAAAACTTGCTTCTATGTATACCATATTGGAACAACATTGCCAGATTACTCACCACATCAGAACACCATTGGCAGATCACTCACCATATTAGAACAACACTGGTAGATCGCGTCTTGAAGGTGAACATAGAATTGGTGTATGGCCAAGAAAAGAGAAACCAGTTATTCAGTTAAGTTATTCCAAATCACAACGAACTCAAAGAAAATATTTTCAGCTATATTAGGGCTTGAGCTTTTGTTCGCCATTTACAGTTTGTACAGTCCACATTTCTCCACCGCTCCACGCGGTCGCCGATTAAAAATTCGCTACTCGATATTTGGTCTAACATATAAAACAATTTGTTTCTTTTTTTTTTCTGTTTCGAAAAAGGCCAAGGCGAAGCTTTGTCGCCACCTTTGCATTTGTTTAAAGGTCTCATTGCTAGTCTTCGACAGTCTGTATTTCTCCCATGTTCACTCGATCCGCCGCATTCACGCTGAATCCCAAAATGCTCGGGTCCACTTTCTGCATCTTTTTCTTTCTTTTCTTCTTATTCATTGCTTCCTGAGGATCCTCTTGAGGTGGACCCGATAGGAAGGCGCCTGATTGGGTCATATTCGTGGGCCTGGCTGCAGACGGTCCCCGAGGAACAGGTGCACCCCACACACTTGCCTAAACGGAATAACCAAACAAAATCTCTTTGTAGTTTGGCCTTCACTAAACTTCAAATGAATAAAACGAGTAAATTTCTATAGTTGTGCTGCGTCGGTAAGTGGTATTACAAGACAACCTGGTTTTATCAACTCCCGCTTTTCCGGAGCAGAAGGAGTTCCGAGAAACAGGCCTCTGGTTACATATCTTTCCAACACTTTTCGTTAGTTATTACGGAACTTAACCACACACGTGTATGAGTCGCGCAAGGCAGCCAGAAGGCAGATTGCTTTCTTTGAAGCAAAGTGCAGATCATTTCCTGTCTTCTTTCGTTATACAAACTAAAAAAAAGGCCTACAGTTGATTTGTTGTTATAATAGGGCGCCAGAAAGAGTCGCATTCTCCCTTCGGTCATCCGCTCTTAGGGCTCTTTACACGCCATTCAACACTTACTTGATGTTTTACGACGCGAAATTGGTTACACTCACTTGAGAAAACGGTGGAAGAGAAGCAGGAATTTTGTCCTTTTGTTTCTTCCGTCTTTCGATGAACTCGCGAGCAAAATCTCTCGTTTCGCGATTGTCCCCTAAGTAAGACTTGACGTAGTCGTAAACCTAAGAGAAATTAGAAACCAAAGAAATTTAAGGATCAAAAACTACATTGAATTCCTTTCAATAGTAATACGTTTTCTTTCATATTTTCGACCTGCAGTCTGTTGCATACAAGTGTATTTTCGTCGAACTTTTCCTTCGTGACTGTCACTTAACCCGGCCTTTATCTCCCATGAGTGACTCAGACAGAATTTGTCCTAACAATATTGATACACTATTAAGCAGAATAGTGATGAGAGTAAAGGGAAAAAGGCAATTAGGGGATTATACTTGATCTCATACCAAGTTCTCCGTACTAATGCCATAAGAATTGTACGGCACACAGTAAGGAGAACTACTTAAGAGACTTGGGCAATGAGAAGGTAAAACAAACATTATGCTCCGGGGACCATACCATTTTCTTCTCCGCCATAAAAGCGTTTTTCAAAGCATTTACTAGGTATTCACTTGTTGAGATTACTAAGAGTAACCTAACCCTGCTAAAAATGCCTTCAAATGTGCCAAGCTTTCGACCATGGACGCCGTTATTTTGACAACAACTTTGTCACCTGGTCACAGCTTCTGTTCCTCTTGCCGCAAAAGTCATTAATAAGCCAAAATGTTGAAGATAAAACTATTAGGTTTTTGTAGCACACGTCTCCTCTGAGGAATAATTTCGAACTTCGTCCAAACTCAGTACTTTGTTACGGTCGGCCCTGTTTGTTCGAAGAGCAGATAACGCTATCCACCGCATAAATCTCTATCCGGTATAGAGCGCATACAAGTGTTTACTTAGCTCTTATCTGCTGGAAAGCGATTTATGCCCTGGTGTTTTCAAATTCAGCTGAGCGAGGATGTCCTCTTATTTTTACTTATTAAGTCTACGATCACCAAAAAATAATATGAACAGCTGTACTTGCCTCATACGGTGATTCCACATCTCTGAGAAATGCCGAGAATGTTGGAACTAATAAAGTAATAAACAGGTACCCATTAGTTATTTATGGTTCAGGCCCACAGTAATTCAACGAGCCGCTCAAGAGTAACTCACTGTCAATTCCTGAAGCGATATTTAGGCTGCGGAGCGCTTGGTCACACCAAACAGAAAACTCGTCCACACTGGGTTGACTGTGGAAAAGCCGTCTCAAGTTTTCCTGCAATAAACAACACAATTAACAAGTTTTTTTTTTCTATTCTATTTTTTGTAGTCTGAAAAGTAATAACCTCTGTTGCTTTGATTGACATTTGCTAAGCCATAATTGGTCCCAAGATCAACACAAGCGTCATTACCCAACCAATCAGAGGTAGAACCACAACCGCGTTTTCCAGCTCTTTTTCCCAGCGTGACAGTTTTTCGTGTTTGACACTAGCCATTCACATGTTTTCCCGCGCTTGGAGCTGGTAGCATATTTTCCGCGCTTGAAGCGGATCAAGTATTTTCCAACGTTTGGTCAAAGCTTCGGAATTACAAACGATTCCAAGCTTTGCTATCATCAAATATAATGTCAAGAAAAAACCAGAGGATCCACTCCACTTACTGTGATACAAATTATCTTCACTCACCTCGTCTCTATTAGCTCGCTTATCAGACGCCATATTGGTCTGAGGTTGACTAGAAAAGGAAAAAAAGGAACGACTTCACTGCATAAACGCTCTACTGACTAAAAACTATTTCTACCGATTACATAACGTTAAAGCCAAGTATAAAAATCTTTGTGGTTCTCTGTGACAAATCAAACACTGTGAAATGAGTACTAAATATTCAAATTACTATTTATATGAAAAAAACGGAGTCATCACACAATCAGATATGTATTTATGATGTCCAACTGAACGTGAAAATTACTGCTCGGCCAAAAAGGTTAAGTACACGACTTGGGGGGGGGCAAAAACCACACCAAAATCTTGTTTTTTCTTAGACGTAATTTCTACCAAACGTTCCCGTGTATAGTTCATGTACTACTGGGCCAACTTTAAACGTCGCACACTCAATTACTCAAAAGTAACAAGCCAAAAATAAATTGGTAAAAAAAAATTTAAAAAAACCCATTTGGTTTACACGGGAAAGGTGACTTCGACACTTTGATTCAAATGTAACACTTTCCAGTTGCTGGATAAAATGCCTAAATTAGTAAAATAAATATTTTGCTTCTTTCTCTAGGGCACAATTTCGACTAATTGAATTCAACGTATGAATTAACCGTCGAAAATTATCATTTGGGTCGACCACGAAGGTTTTAAAGAGGGGTAAGTTTCCGAAGAAAATTGAGATGCGGAGTGGGTGGGATATTACAGGATAACTTGATTTTATCAACTGATTATGTAAATTCACCACCGTGGAGAGTTTCCAAAGCTAACGTTTTGGGCGTTAGCCCTTCGTCAAAGCGAAGAGTTTTAAGTTCGATGCGTGCAAGGCCCTACGAGACCAATGTCAGTATCTGAACAACTACACACTTACCCCCCCCCACCAAATTAACCCTTAGTTGTCATCAGTTGAATGTTTTAGGGTTAGGGGAGGGGCAGGTATGCAGCTGCTCAGATACTGACATTGATGCGTTGTACGTTCAAAGTGGACCTTACTCTCTCAAGTAACCTCACCTGGCTTTTTGTTGCTGTCGCTGTTGTTGTACAAACTGTTGCTGTTGTTGTTCACGACTCTTACTCGCAGCTTTGACGGCATCATCCCAGAATGCTCCACCTTCCTCATCGCTGTCGTCGTCATCATCGTCTTCGTCGTCGTCTTCGTCATCATACTGCTGCTGAGGAGGAGGAGGAGGCTTGGATGGTGTTGAGCCCCAGATGTTAGCTGAATTGGGAGCTGGTCCCCAAGATGCTGAAAGGTGTCCAGCATTCCCCCACACTGACGAACTGAGAGGATTGTGACTCGGCTGAATAAAGACGAAAAGGCGGAAAGGTTCAACACAAGCACTACAAGACAGAGTATCCTCTGGGATCGTATACGTTATCGAGTACAAAAGTGTTGAAAAACTACCCAATTGGCCGTTGCGATAACCGCGGTCTTGTCTTTTCGACACCCAATTAGAAACTGCCCCATCTCCTAAACAGAGCGGTTTCCCCACCTGTGATCTCGACAAAGCAGATCCCTGCTGCCTTTTGTTCTGTTGCTGGGCCTGCTCCTGTTGTATCTGTAGCAAAGACTTGACAGGCTGATTCACCACAGGTGGTCTTTCACCCCACCCTGGTACACCCCGTGTCTGTTGTTCCCTCTTCTGCTGGGCCTGAAGCTGCTGCAGTTTGAATTCCCGCTGCACCTTGTCTCTTTCCTCCTGCTGTTGAATCTGGGTTAGGGACATAGTACCTGACACAGGGGTAGGAGAACCCCACAGAGACCCTCCTGACGTCTGCATAGAGAAACAGACAGACAAAACGGTGGTCAAACGTCTGTACATGAGCAAACGTTGAAACCGCTGACAGGTGGCCAAAATGGCCGCCCAACATCATGCCGCTTTCAAGGTGTCAAAATTACGTTATTCCATGAGAGTTATAACGGATCAATGTCAGTACCCGACCAACAGCGCACCTACCCCTCCCCTAACCCAACATTTACCCGAACTTATCTTCAGTTGACTGTTGTTGGGTTAAGGGAGGAGTAAGTGCGCAGTTGCTACTACGATACTAACACTAACCGTTATAAGCCAAACCTGAAATTGGCCAAAACTTCCTCAAATTTCCTGTCCCTGTTCCTTTAATATGTCTCATACTTAAATCAATTCTCCGCGCAGGTAACCTCTCTAAAAAGGCCTCTTCCCACTGTCCTCAAAAGGCAGCCGTTGCAAAAAGGTCAGCCTTAATTAAAAATGACCTTCTCACCTGATTTTCCTGTCTCTTCTGCTGCAGTTTCTGCTGCAACTCCCGCTGTTGCAATTCGGCTTTTATTTGCAAGTCTTTCTTTCTCTGGAGTTCTTGCTGTTGCTGCTGGAGTCGAAGAAGAGCTTGCTGCTGCTGTTGCAGTACCTCGTGTCGTCGCTTCTGCTCCGCTTTCTGTTGCTCAAGCTGTTGCCGTTGTTCTTGTTGGCGTAACACTTCCTGTTGTTCTTGTTTCCTTCTCAGCTCTTCTTCTTGTTTTCTTCGCACTTCTTCCTGTTTCTTAGAAAAATGATAAGAGAGACTTCAAATACTGTCATTTGCAGCTCAAGAAGTTTTCACCCTTTCCACCCTAACATCAGTATGCAAATTCTCCCGACTGATCTCTAATACATTTCTTAAGGTGCTTACAAAGAAAAATTTGCCAACAATCTCTAGCTTAGACGGTTAAGAATATATGAAAGTCATATATCTGAACTGCGGATAAAGACGTGGATGAAAGTGATCCTCGCAGTGATGTGCATTACTTAGGCAGTAGTGAAAATAAGGCCTGAAATTCAAATATATGACTTTCATGTATTCTTAACCGTCTATTCATCACTTCACGGGTTTATTTAGAACCACCATCATGACCAGCTCCCAGTTGGCTTGTTAGCTCAGTTGGTAGAGCGCTGCACCGGTATCGCAGAGGTCATGGGTTCAAATCCCGTACAGGCCTGAATTTTTTTTTCAGGCCTTATTTTCACTACTGCCTAAGTAGTGCACATTACTGCGAGGATCACTTCCAAATCTCTAGCTTCTTAAATTAGTAATCATTTCCAAATCCCTGAACCCAGCCATCTGCTTCACACACCAACCTTTCTGAGTTCTTCTTGTTCTTTTCTTCTTCTTTCCGTCTCCTGCAATTGCCGTCTTTCCTCGTCCTCTTGTTGTTGTTTCTTGAGCATGGCTGCCTCCTGCGCGCGTCTCCGTTCTTCTTCCTCTTGCTTCAGTCTCATAGCCCTGGCATTAGCTTCTCTTCTTTCCATTTCAAGCTGGATAAGAAAGAGGAATATGGTAAGAAATAGGCGCCAAGATATGACGCCAATGCTAGCGAATCAACAAAACTATAATAGCCTTACCCTTGCCTGCTTTTCTTTCTCTTCTTCCATTCTCTGTATTTCCTCAAAGGATGGAACATTCTGTTGGCTGAAAAAATGGAAGGAAATGTTGAAAAAAACCCTGGCCAAAAATAGGCTTAACATAGGCCACTTCCTTATCGGAGGAGCTCGCAAATTTTTTTTCATTTTATTTCAACAGTTTTCTCGATCAAGGCAACGGTTTTAACGAAAAAAGAAAGGCGCATCCGTAAGTGTCATTTTTGTAAAAATTGAATAACATCAAGTTCCAAAAAATATATTTCTAAGAAATAGACCGCACTTTCTATCGGTTTACTGCCGTCAAAACCCACACAGAATGTTAGGAAAACACTTGAAAAGGTTTGTAAATCGCTCGCCTTCGGCGTGTGATTTGCAAACTGTTCGAGTGTTCTCCCAACATCTCAAGTGAGTTATTACGCTAATAAACCGACAGAAAGTGTGGTTTATTGCTTTTATAAACAAACTTCAATTTTCTATGGGTTTGCCAGTGCAATAAACGAAAGGTTTTGACCAATCAGAGTGCTTGTAGTATATCGGTTTTTTAAAATGAAAACCAATTAACACTCTTTATAATTTGCCCGCAATATCGGCTTGTCATGAAAAAGAAACCTATCAAGACAAAGGAGAAAGATTCCTGATCGATACATGCAGAAGAAGCCAAAGTGGAAAGCTCAGAACCTAGGACACTCAAGACAACTTTACCTATTTTCTGTATCCCAGCCTTTTCCAGCCGATGTCGTTGTTACAGGAGACCAAGGACCAGGTGCAATGATAGCTGTAGAAAGAGGAAACTCAGTACAATTTCTAGATAATCTCCGAGTTTTCTTACTATTCATTTTTTTAGCCTCTTATTTATTCTTCTTTCAAAACTCTATGCCATGCTCAGAGGTGTAACTCAGATTTTCTAAGGGGGGGAGGGGGGTTAGGAAGACCATGGTCACCAAATTTTGCTCTAGCACGGGAAAATGGTGATACCATAAAGATTGATCGTTTGTTGCAAGTTTTCATCATCTCAATCAAAAGGTTTGTATGTTGCTGACTTGAAAACTAGTGTGTCCCTAACAAACCAGGAAAACTTTTAAAGCAATGAGCACCAAAAAGGGCCAAGTCAAACTTACAAGGAGAAGCTTGGGGTGGTGTTCCAGTGCCCCAGATTGATTCAGCGTGCGGTGACAGAGTTTGGGGTCTTCCTTGTTGGGGTTGCTGTTCTAAGTGATGGACTCCTGCCTGTTTTGCCTGTGGTTGACCATGCTGCGTCATAGGAGATGAGCTGTTTTGTGTTGGGGAATGCTGAGGTGGTGGTGGCATCTGCTGCATCTGTTGCATTTGCTGTTGGCTATGTTGCAGTTGTTGTTGCTGGGAGGAAGAGAGAAAGAGAGACACCAACATCGTTTTGTATTTTAACATGCTGAAGTATCTTAGTTATTATGGTAGCTGGTGAGATAACTATGTTTACATCTTCTCAGAGCTACGAGGCCCCACCCTACCTTGTGAGTAAGCCCTAATTATTAACCTTGGAAGGCGTATGTTTTTCTGCCCAAAGATTTCAAAGGGGAGAGGTTTGCCAGTGTCTGGCTCTAAAAGTGAGGATTAGCAATGCTAGAACCCTTGCAGACCTCTCTCTCTGAGGCTCTGATAAGACTGACAGACTGACAAACTTGGAGGAAGACTATTGAGGTAAGGCTAGACAGGAAAGAACAGACTCAACCTAAAGATGACTTCATTCTTGCCATACCACTATCTCTGCTCTGTTTGGTCTGTTGTTACTCTACCTGCATCATCATTGCTTGCTGATGGAACAGTTGCTGTTGAAGGTAGTGTTGCTGCATCAGATGTTGGTATTGCTGTTGTTGGGCTAAGATCTGTTGCTGTCTCTGAATGTGTTCAGGAACAACCTGCAACATCACAGATGAACAGCTCTTTAGCAATTACAATATACAACTAAAAAGCAGTTCAAGGCATGCAATTTAAGGTAGCTCTAACACATCTAACTACGAACACAGTTGACTAAATTCTTCCTAATGAATGCTTAAATTGTAAATAAACTCGTGAGCAAAGCTGAAAGGTACAAAATGTTGATTTAACACTAAAGAAAAGTGAGGCTCATCACACCCTTATTCCAGAAGAGTGATAAGCATCTAATTTCTCCTAACAAAATCACCCCCTTAATCAAACATCAAAGTCAAAAATAAATGAAATAATTGTGAACTTATGAGGCTCTTGACTGTTTAACAAATTCTTATTGTCAGCACCTTAAGAAATGTATAGAGAACAGTATGGAGAATTTGTATACTGATGTTAGGGTGCAAGGGGTTAAATTTTGGCTTTTAGTAGCACCCTTGTGAGATAAACACAAAAATTCTTACCTTACAGGGAGGTGGCTGAGGACCAGGGGTGAAGGGCACTCTCCCCCATTGTTTAATAATCTCGCCTGCCATGTCACAATATTTGCAAATAATTGGAAAGAATTACAGACAGCTTTGTGTTAGTTACCTTGAGCACAAACTTATTGTCCAAAACACATATACAAGTATCCTATATATCTGACAGATTTGTTCTTTTGTCACCAAACATTGCACACATATTACATCTTAGTAAAACTATTGATGCAAGGCAGGCATATGAAACCACTATTGTAACAAATTATCTTTAGTTCATGTTCTGTACTCCAAGAGAGCTTGGGCACTGTAAGTGTAGGTAAAAAAACTGTTTGAACTTAGTAGATTGTCTTGATAGCTTGTAAAACCAACATATACTATTTCACAAACATATTGGCAGTATTATGAGTCCTCACAGAATGAAGTTCCTCACCAAGTGGTTGGAAAATCTCATCAATAGTTCGTTTGACCAACAATCCCATTGTGAAGTAACCATGACTAAACCAGTCTGCCATCTCAGAGTTGGAAAATGGACCTGTTTGAAAAATGCCCCCATTAATGTTTGGGTAACCTGCACATACAGTACTGTTCAAAAGTAGGTAAACAGTCCCTCAAAACTAAATCCTCAATCCTTCACTTTCAAAAAAGCCTCAAGGATCAAAGCTTGAGTCGAGTTTAGATATGCATAATATTAGTTTTGAAACCTTTAAACCCAATTTTGAGATATTTGTGTTTGATTTGAGATGAGGAAACAAAGGAATTTATGCACAAGAAATTTTTCACATGACTCAAAAATTTGCTGCCTCTTGTCTAACTCACAGGATAAAAATTATTATAACCTGCTTCCTTGCTGATGAAGCAAAACTTTGCTCAAACTACTTGCAGTTCTAATTTTTTTAACAAAAAGCTCAAAATTATCTTATTTTACTATCTGCAGGATCCTCTTCATTGTCTTGCACCTGAAGGTTGTTCATAATTCACAGTGGTAAAGTTACAGAATTACATGAGCCACTCCGTGCACCATCTGGTTCCTGACTGCCAAAACAGATAACTTACCTTGCACTTTGCCCTGTGGATCAGTGTAACTCCATTGCACCTCTTCTGTAGTTGTTGGTGAACTGCGATATTCCTGCTTCTGCTGTGTAGTTGGCTGGTCCTCTTCTTTTAAATCCTCCTGTTGAAAGATCAAAGGAAATGAAGTTTTTTTTTTCACATTATACATGTATGTCCTATTGTTAAGAGAAATAATATGGATGGTTAGGTTCTGTAGTAAATTCAACTCCAATTTTTACTGGTGGGGAAACAGTCAGCATGAATGAACCTGCAGCATGCTAGCAGTTAAAAACCCAAGTCCTACTGTGGCAAAAATGGTGTAGTTCTGAAGACTTGACACCACCAAGTGGGCAGTTTTTTTTGTTCTGTTGAGAAATTGCTAAATTGTATCTGATCACAAATTACCTGTGCAAACTTTGTAGCTAATGAAGCTTCATGGAAAACAGTTTTGTAATGAGAATCTGAAAGTCTCTAATTTCTGGATAAATTAATCACATCCACCGGAAATGCTATAATATCAAAAAGGACCATGATATCCAATACCAACCTCCTTTTTTTAGGAAGGGATAACATGCAGTTAAAATCCACACGAACTTGTTTCTACCATGAGCAGAAAGCAGCAGAAAGAGAAATACTACATGGATCTTATGAAATAGAGATTTAAGGCCACAAAATTGTTACCCTACCTCTTCATCATCATCTAATGAAGCCACAAGGTTTTCCGCAGCTTGTGCAAAATGGTCCATGTTAGGCTCGTCTTCTTTCAGACTGCCAGCAGCTTGTTCCAGCATTGTTGAGGATGTGGTGATGTGAGCTTGTGGAGGTACATGGGCGAATGGTTTGTTAGGTGCATTGGACGGAGTAGAATTAGGTGTTCTTTGCTGTGAAGTGGAGGAGTGTGATGGAGATGGAGGTGGTGAAGTTGTAGTTGAGGGAGAAGGTTTGTATGTATCTGTTGTTTGATGTGTAGAAGGTGGTTTAGCGGCTGGTGGTTTTTGTTGTTCTAATGTTTCTGCTGGTTTTCCTTCACTGACAGGTCTTGTTCCTAAAACCCATAATAAATAGAGAGGTCAATCACAAACTACAAAGCATGGAAAGGCAACTGACCATTTTGAAAACATAAGAGTAGGGATAGGTTATGTTTCACACTAAGCCAAGAGCATAACCCAACTCAAAATTTCCATATGTCCTTTGGAAGCTTTCAATACAATTAAAATTATTAAGAGGTAGATTACTTCTAGTAGCAATAAACAGTTTACACCAGGTGACAGACCTGAGTCGGAGTGTTTTGTTTGGACTGCATCCTTGTCCTCATCATCCCAAACATCTGGTGGTTCTTCATCATCACTTTCAGACTATTTACAACAGAAGCATGTTGGCATTTAGTCAGAACAAGGAGAATTACACCCCAGTAACCCACCACTAAGAATTTTATTTTTCGAATCTGATCCATGGCAACATACACAAAGCTGTCATCAGGGAGTACCATTACCCCCCCCCCAGCATTTCATCAGACTTTCCTGATAATTCAGAACCAATACTCATTTATACTCCTGGGTGGACAGATGCACGGTGAAAGTGACATGATTCGCCCATGAACAGAGCATGATGAACTAGCCAAGTCTGGAACCCAGACCTCTAGACCCACAGTCCAGTGCATGAACTACCAGGCTACCACATCTCCCATAACAAGTTACCATGAATAATCATTAGAACTGAAGTTATAGAATAATAAAAGAGGCAACAAAATAACAAACAAATGGGTCAAGTTTATGTACATTTTTTATAATTATCTAACCTGATTTCCCATATTTTTATCTCTATTTTCAACATATTTTCTCTCATCTTTACTTTGGCTGTCCTCTTCCTTTTGCTAACAAAAAAAAACAAAACAATGTTTTCAGTACCATGGGAGAGGTGGTCCATAAGTAAACATGTTGAATCAAACAGCAATTATTAAAGAATAAACTTTACGAATTTCCCTCCATTGCATATAATCCAAATTTTAATACTATGCATTGACTGCTAGATTCCACTGTCCTATGTATTCTGTAATTTTTTTCCCTTCAGGTACCCAATGACTTGTTCTGTATGTCAAAATTTCAGAGGGTTTGGTCCAACTCCCAACACACTGAAAGCAAATTACACTAGCATGTTACCTCCCAAAGTAACACAGTACAGCACACAGCATAGACAATGGTAAAAGCACTCAAAAAGTTTAATAGGATGAAGAAGACTATTTTAGAGATGGAGAAGACACAACAGGCTACCTTAGACACAAATGCTCCTGAAGAATCAAATGTGCCAGGAGTTGTAAAATCTTCATTATCATCATTACTCCATTCAGGGAGCCTGTCATAAGATGAGCCCCACCGAACATCTTCATTATCATGATAAGACCGACGACTGCCACGTGCCGTTTGCCACTCGTCATCAGGATGACCTCGTTCTCGATAGGACTCTGTTCCCCCTCTCCAGGATGCACGGCCTCTTGATGGACCACCTACAGAACAATATGGAAGCCTTTTCATTTTTCTGATTCTGATTCCCACTGTTCACTACGCTATATGTACTCTAACAACCTGCAGGTGTGTGCAGTGTCCTTCTCTGTTTTACAGGTGGGTAGACAATTAACCCTTGAACCGCAACAAGTGATGAACATGTAACCCAACCCTATAACATCCTTATATCATCCAGCAAACAAGAAATAAGAATATCTACTTGAACTGATCAAGTAGTTTTTTTCTTGATCTGAAACCAGATTCTTGTAATTGATTTATAGGGTAACATGTCACAGCTAGATGGGAGATTTAACAATCAGATCCTTGAAAATAAATGGAATGAATAAGAACCCTCATATCCAAAAAAATGCAAATGAATGAAACAAAGCATCATTAACAAGCCCCACACATGTGGGGAAATGACAAGTACCTTCTACTGTCAGGCAGTTACCAAACATAAATCTTGAATAATAATGAAGAAATATAACTAATTAAAACTACTTTCTTGTGTCCTTCCATCACTCACCTCCTCTCCATTTGTCAGATCTCTCAGAGGACCGCTGTCCAGATATTCTCCAGCCATCATCGTCATCACCAGACCTCCAATTGCCGCTATCTGATCTTCTCTCTGCTCGTTCCCAAGATGTGTCACTTGAGAGGCGAGGTCGAGCTAAAGATGGATCATACCCTCCTCTGCCAGGACCAGATGGACCTAAAACAACCAGGCAGAATAATCAATCAGCATCAGTGATGCAGGTGTAAAATAACACTCAAGCTGTTGTTCTCTGAATGATCCCTTCACAAAACAGGAAAAGCAAAAATCACCTATTTATAAATAAACAGCAATTCTGGTTACAGATGATGAAACTGTGATTTTCTCATTTCACAACTTAGATAAGAACTGCACCTTCATCAGGAAAAACAAATTGCAGCAAAAATGTACTGCCAGTTTTGAATTGGCTTTATTTAAGAGCAAAGGGCCATCAGGAGATTATTATCCATGATCTTCAACAGTTTTCCCTGTCAGATAACAAAAATACCCAACCTGATTCTCTAAGGCTTGGTGATCTCTCAAAGCTTCCACGACTAAAACACAAATAGAGCAACTGTTACCGTTGTAGAGGCCTTGCACATGTTTGATACCCATCAGAGAACAAACTGTAACTCTGATAACACAAGCTTTTAATCAACTAAAATTGATTCACTTCAAGTTGTTGAACAATCTCTTCTCTCGTATATTTTTAAGGTCATCACAACAGAATGCAGTGATTTAAGAAATAGGTTAGTGAAGCAATATTCTAACCTGTTCTCACTCCATCCCTGCCTGCGGGTGTCGCTGCCTCGTCCAAAGCCTGCCCCACCCTCTCCCCTGGTGTCTTCATATGATGTTTGTCTTGTATATCCCCCATCCCCCCTGCCGCGCCCTAAGAGAAAAGAAAGCAACAAAAGAAAAAAGATAATTGTTACACAAAACCCTCAGAGAGCAACGGCTTCTCAGGGAATTTAAAGAAAAGGTGTGAATCAGAGAATGTGAAGTGTTCAAAGTAAAATTTGTAGTGCAACAGTTCACAACCTTAATTGGAGTATGTTAAGAATTCTATTAGCTCTGAGATTGTTTTTTCAAAAGATCATCTTTGGCCACCATCAATTGTAAAATGGTCACCATTAAAAAAGTTTTGTACCTGGGAGTTACGGAATGATGAGGAAGAAAAAGAGAAGGAAAGAAAGGATGGCTTCTAAAGGAGATATCATTTAACAAACAATATAAAACCAGTTAAAATACAAACCACATTACCTCTAATTCCACCCCTACCCGGTCCTCTAGGCGGGCCAACTCCTCGCATTGCACCACGACCCATTAACTTCAAGACAGCATTACTGTTAACAGACCCAGCAGAGTTTCTCTGGAAAAATGAAATACATTTTTAAAAAAAGAGACCAAATGAATCAAACATCACTTAAGTGGGGTTGTCAAGCTTTATTTATGACAAAATCTCAAAAACCAAATTGTACATTGACAGAGGTCAATTAATAAATTTGACTTGAGAAATTAATTTTGTCCAATAGTCAGAGATAAACACTAACCAAGTTCAAGGTCTGAAATGAGGTAAGTTTTTCTGCTTGGATTTATGGCCTAGGCCATAAATCTGAGCAGAAAAACTTGGACCTTAATTTACCATACTGGTGGAGAAATTGAGGTTAGGGAGATATTTATTATATCTCTGGGTTCATAAAGAGGGGGAGAGATTTCAACTCAGACAAAATTTTGAATTTTGCAGGTTGTAAGGTGAAATATGACCCACTATATTGACCAATAATTATAGTGAGAAATAAAAACATACAAAGAAAAATAAATAATGCTTGATAAGCATAGAGAGGCGATGGAAAAAAAGTAAAATAACAGCTTGACATTATCCTCTAAATTATCACCAAATTCTTGAAGCTAAAATTTTTAAGAACTTCATAGCAGACTGGGCAGAGAATTGACATGCAGAACTTAGAGGTGAAAGGGTTAAAATATTGTTATCATCAGCACCTGTTCCTCCTCTGTAAATTGTTGAAAAGCTAAAGGAAGAGCAGGTCGAGTTCTACAGATTGAATCAAACAACTGTAACTCTGGGGGCACCATGACATCCTCACTGAACAGCGCCAGCATCTCCTCCTTACCATACCGGTGCTCAGCAAGTTTGTACTTTGGCCCAGGGGAAGGTGGAGGAGAGGTAACACTGTTACCACTGGACAGTGCACGCAACCTGCAGTGAGCATTTTAAAGACATTCATGGGTTTAAATGCAGCAAATCCATACAAAGTTGAATTTCAGAATTTCATGCATCGTCATAATAATAATAATAATAATAATAATACTATGTTCAGGAGTTTGGGAAATAGTTCGGTCACAAGGCCTTTGAATTGTATTACTAGTGGAACTAGTCTTTCCCCACCCCATAACCCCCCAATCTCCCATGTTGTGGCAAGCAGTGAATTCACTAATGGATTATTTATTTTACAAACTGAAGATGTAAAAAGCCAAATCATGGAAGTTATTAAAGCTGTGGTCCTTCAAAGAGAAACTGCTAGGAGTCATCTAAGTTACACTGTGATTGCACCTTCATACTTTTTAATGCCATTCTGTTAATATTTTTGTTTGGTCAATGCAGCATTCACAATAAGTACAACCTCACTTCTTTTAAAGAACAAAACATGAACTATGATCTCCCATATTTCACAAACCAAGTGAAAATAAAAAAATTTTGAAAGGGTCATTAACATACAAATGTCAATAAAGAGCTACAAAAATGCACACATTAAATTTTTGATGCAGTGTTACTGGTAAGGTTATTTTAAAATACAGGGCAAACATGTCCACATGGAGCTTATAACTAGCACAATCCCATTTTCACTTAGAAAGCAGTGATCCTCAAGGCAAAAAACCAACAACAAGAAAGGTATTCAAATGACCTCATTGCAGCTTCCACTTGACTCAATGAATTTTTTGATAACAATTACTTCTCCAAATTTAGGGCAAACCATCTTATTTTCAAGGGGTTGGGAAGAGGGGTGGAACCACTTTTGTTCTCTGATTGTATTTTCTGTTTTTTAATTGCTTCCTTTGGAAAGTGGAAAGAATTTACTTTAGCCTTGTCAAAAGTGAGTTCAACCTCATGAGCTGAAAATAATTTCCAATCAGCCAGCTTGCCTTAGGAAAAGGTACTCTCTCACTCATAAAAAGTACATCAATTTAATATCATTTGTAAGTCCCTGTAATGCAAACTGAACAGTCTGTTGTTTTTTTTCTGGAAAAGAAAAACAACGTTTTCCAAGCGAAGCTAGCATTTAAACAACATTTAGGAGAAGCGCCAAAAAAATGTTAAGTCAAGAACGTATATAGTCTGAGGAAAAAAGGAAAAACTACACACAGGCTGAGTTATCAACAAAAATGGTGTCTCACACTATTCACACCACATCAAAGCGCGTAACGTGTCGGAGTATCAGCTGATGTAAGTCGTAAATTAAATACAAAGTGTGAGCGACTTCTGCTCACTACAAGAGCATATGTTTTAAATTGCCGTCTTAATTTCGTAATAAACCCATCCGTCAAAGAAAGAAGTAGGTCGTAATAATTTCAAATAATACCAATTAACATATCATTTTATTTTCCGCTTACCACTCCGGTCCAAACGTTAGAGTTTCCGACATACTGATTCCTAGGTGCAAAAAAAACAAATGAACAAACGTAAGATAAGACTGAGATTACGAGAGATTTTTTTTCAGTGACATCAAATTTAAATAGAAACCGTTTTGACAAGCACAACAGGATTGGATTTCATTGCATGGAAAATTTTACTCAAATAGATCTAGCACAAACATATATACGTTCAAATCGATTAAAAATTCACAGTGTCTCGGAAGTACGGGAAAGGAGAAGTGAGTCCAGTTTGCTTCGCCCGCAGGCTCGGCAGCTTATAACTCCGACGAAGCCAGGGGGCAGGGAGAAAAGACAAGGAGTAAGCTTTCGCACTGCAATAATAGTACCTTCGAATATTGTCTTGTAGCTCTGCAAGAGCTTTGCAAATTCCTGCGTTCAAGTAAAGGTGAGAGAAAAATGGCGAACCTCGAAATTTACAAGTTTGATCACGTGGTTAGTTTTTTCAATCTTTTCCACATCGAGCATAATTTTACTAAAAAACAGCTGATCATTATAAACGTGGGCTTTGATTATTTACGTTGTCAGCGGATGTCCTCATCGGTTAAAGAAGTGAAAACTCACAGCGGCAACTGTAGTCTGAAGTTTCTTTCATTCGATATTTCCACCGATCTGCTCTTGAAAAGCGTAGTTGTGGTGATGAGGAACTACCTCATACTGCTTTTGGTTTTCTTCCCCTACTATCTTTGCTTGGATGCTCTAGGACCTGATGAAGATCCGTACAAGATTTTGGGTGTAACTCGCTCTGCAAGCCAGGCAGACATAAAAAGAGCTTACAAGAAAATGGCGAGGAATTGGTAAATGCTTATGAAAATTTAAAGATCTTTGTTTTTGAATGGAATTTGTTTCATTTCTTAACGAGACGAGCGAATCTGTTTATCCAATCAAAGTGTTTATATAGCTGAAAGCGATTGTTATGATTTTTACATTCGATCCTCATGCGTTGAGAAATCTCAATTTCCAACTACACAAAAGAGTGCAGACGGGAGAAATAAATAAGCGCCAGGGACACTACCTGAGGAATGCACCTCAACAAGTTATAGATAATTGAGCTATAGAAGCAAAGGAATTGTTTAACTTCACGAAGCTAAATCTAAAAGTCTTTGGCATCAATTATTGTGGGCTTCCTTTCTTGACTTGATAATACTAAATGAGATCACTTAATTTTTTTTTTAGTTTACGTATTAAAAAGATGCAGTCGTTTGAGAGATTATATTTTTGATGCTACATATATAGGAGTAGTGCAATCTTAAAAAAAAAAAAAAAATTTTCTTCCTTTAGGCACCCAGACAAGAATAACGATCCCTCAGCACAAGAAATGTTTATCAAAATCAATGAGGCTAATGAGGTGAGGATGTAATTCTCTCTACTGTCTACCATATAATTCTTAAGATATTGGTTTGGAGAATGTGGTGTTGGATCAACTAAGAATCCCCCTGTTGATGTTTTTCTTTATTCTCATCAATTGTCTGCTTGATATTGTATAGATATTTTAACCCCTAAGAGTGACCAGAATCCAATTTCTCCCTACATTAACACCCTTGAATCAAACATTTAAGTCACAAGAATAGAGAAAATGATCATCAACTAAGGGAGCTCTTGATTGTTGAACAAATTCTCCTCATCAGCAGCTAAGGAAATGTATAAAGAACAGTATGAAGAATATGCATTCTGATGTTAAGGTGTAAAGGGTTTAGGAGAAATTCTATGACTGTAAATATATGAAAATCATCCCATACAGGCATCAGTTTTTTCAGGCCTTATTTTCTCTACTGCTCAAGTACTGCTCGTTACTGCGAAGATTGCTTTCATATTCATGAGAAATTCTATCTTGGTCACTCATGGGAGTTTAAGGGTTAAGGAGTCCCTAAGAAAAGTTTTGCCTAAGAAAAGTTTTGCCCCAGAGAGTGATGATAATGTAATCAAAATTTATACTGGGATTAACCTCAAGGCTCCTTGATACAATTTGCAATAATCAACTTTAGATAAAAAAAGCCTAGCCTGGGGGTCTAGGTATTAGGGTATCTGAGTTGTTTTTGACAAGGTATGCAGTTTTTCCATATCATATTACAGGTGCAAATTACCTTGTCTATTACTAGCTTAATAAAGAAATTTTTAGGTTACTTATCCATAAGTTTTAAAATTATTTTAAACTTTCACACTCCAACATTAGTATCCATAAACCCCATATTTTTCTCAATAAATTTCCTCTGGTACTGACAAGGATAATTTTTTTTAACAATCAAGAGCTTCTTTAGAGATTATTCGCTCTCATAGGTTAAAGGGTTAAAATATGTTGATATCTCAAAGAGAAAAAAGTTTATATACCAGTATCCCAACTCTGATCTCTGTGGCTTTGATTTTCAGATTTTGTCAGATGAAGAAAAAAAAAGGAATTTTGATATGTTTGGAACTACCTCACAACCAGGCAATGGTGGACCACAGGGAAAACCATTTTATGATCCGCATAGTGGGTTTAGCTTCTTCTTCAATGGAATGCCTTTTCAAAACTCTTGGTCTAAACCAGGACAAATTAATTACAGATTTTACTTCAAGACAGTCCTACCAGAGAGTTACGAGAAGCCTTACTTGATTGAAATTATCTCAGACTGGTGTTTTGCTTGTAAGTTGATTATAAGGTCATGATACAATATATGACACATCTCAATGACATGTTGCGGTAAAAACTCACTGCAAAGAATCTCTTTATGTGATGTGGAGGATTTTCTCGATTAATGTGGCTGGTTTGAATACATGTGAATTCATCTGACTGATTGTAACAGTGACACTCTATTGCACAGAACAAGATATTCATGAAAATTCCTTGTATCCTGAGACAAACTTTCTCTGTGACTTCTTCCTTTGTTGTGTTGTAGCAACTTGTTTTTGGAGCCAGTTAACACACTGGAGCTTGTCTTCAGCTAATGTCTTGACTTTAACCTTCTCACTTCCAAGATCTCATTTGTAATTCCCCTTCCTGTCTTTGATATAATTCTTATGATATTGCTTGGAGAACTTGGCATTAGATCAACTAACAATCCCTTAATTGATATTTTTCTTTATTCTTGTCACTTATCTGCTTGATGTTGTATTGATATTGTAAGGAGAAATTATGTCTTGGTCACTCATGGGAGTTGCAGTGTTATTTTACCGTTCCATCAAATGATATCTTAATGATAGATGTACATTAAGAATAGCTTGTGGTTTTTATTTCAAAAACAAGACAACAGACAAACCTTTCCCATAGGGGAAAGAACACTCGTGTTGCAGTGCTGATTGTGAGGGTATCTGGCAGACTACAAATTAACAAATTTTGTTTAAAAATCATGCCAGAATTGGATCAATATCAGTATCTGGGCAACTGCCCACCTACCCCTCCCTTAACCCAACATTAACCCTAACTTGTTATCAATTGACTGTTGTTGAGTTAGGGGAGGGGTAGGTGGCCAGTTGCCCAGATACTGATATTGATCCCCAGAATCTTTTAATCAAAATTGCCTTAATCTTAATACATTGTAGACTCACATAACTTTGTGTTTTCTTTTTAAAATTATCTTTCAATCAAAGGTGCACAAATTGAGGAGATATGGGAAGAAGCATCCAATAAAATAAAAAGAGTTGGTGTGGGAATTGGCATAATCAATGTCAATAGGAGTCCGCGTTTGGCAGATGCATTGGGTGCAGGAAGAGTGCCCTCGATCATTGGTGTCATCAATGGAAGAGTTGCGTTCTACAATGAAATAGTTACCGTGCAGGGTTTGAAGGATTTTGTGCTGGAGTTATTTCCATGTGGCTTAATTGAAAAGGTGAATTTTTATTATGTTTTGGTAAATTTGTGTAGAGAAAGTCCTAACTCATTTACTCTCCCAGGAGTGAAAGGGTTAACCTTTACATCCTAACATCAAAAGGCATATTCTCCATACTGCTTCTCATACATTTCCCAAGTTGATGACAAGGAGAATTTGCTTAACAATGAAGAGCTTCTTAAGTCAATGATCATTCTTGTGATCTTAATGTATGATTCCGCAGTAACATTGTACAGAGAAATTAAATGCTAATCACTCTCAGGGATCAAAGGATCATTAGAATTCAGAATCTAAGGTGATAGTGCTACTATCAGCTAAAGAAAAAACAGTACACACTTTTAGAATCCCTGATAATTGTATTCTTTAGATTTCAAAGATATAATATTGGATTTTCCTATATGAATGTGGCAAACCGGAATCAGCTTTTTGAGATCAGTAACTACTAGCAGGATTTTTGAGAAAGGGTCTTCTAGTCTCCTAGTTAATCAATCATGCTAATGATTAGACCAAGAGATCTCTGTACTAAACCCACCCCACATTATCTTTTCAGGTTACAGCCAGTAATCTTGATTCTTTCTTGACAACAAGCATCAGCAACAAACCAAGTGTGATTCTATTTTCCCCCAAACCTAATCCTTCACTCCTTTATCATCTGGTGGCTTTCAGAAATTGCAAACAACAGTCATTTGGCTTTGTATCGTTGACTGACAGTTCTTCAGAACCTCTCAGGAAACGCTTTAGAGTGAACTCTAAAGAACCAACAGTGTTGATCTTTAAGGATGATGTGGCTGTGCCAGATGTGGTTGTCACGGTAACTAGTTGAAGTTGACAAGCTCTTTTAAATGTATTTTTTATCAACTTGAAGATCAGTCATTTGTTATTGACTATAGTAGAGATGCCTGGTTTAATCACATGGGTGTCATAATGAAAATCAAAATATCAGTGTCTTTTTTTTCACATATAAAAACCATTTCTTGAAACTAGGTCATGGAAAGATTTCAGATAGTTTCCAACATGATTTGAATATTTTGATAAATTTAGTCAATGAAACTGCACATCTTAGTAAAATTGTGTAGATAATTTTTTAATCTATGATTGAAAAAATAGTATTGAGCAATTAGTTAGATCATAACTTGTTTTGAATTTTCACTTGCAGGCATCTGAGCTCAAGCATGGAAAACTTCGTGAAGTAGTTGAATCTCACAAATATCTTCACCTTCCAAGACTGTCTTCAAGGTCTTTATTTGATGAACTTTGTCCTGAGGAGAGGTTTAGATCCCAGCGAAGGTTAGTTGCTTGCCTAAATAAAGCAGGAAAATGTGTTGAGCTCAAGTGAGGGTTAGGAAATCGTTTTTTAAAGCTTTTGTGTATACAGTTTATGTAAAAGGTTTTGATTCCCCTCAGTGTCTTAATCATAAAACAAACATACACTACACTCCAAATTCATGTATACATGATAAAACAACGTATGTATCTACACTCCAAATTCATGTTACTACGTAAAACAACCTATGGTAGAATGAGCAAGGTAATTTTGTATCATAAACTGAGTTAATAACGTAAATTGGCCACCGTAAAGAGTTTCGAAGCTGGCGTTTCGAGCCCTTCGTCATTTCTTTGATAAGGACGCATCCAAACCAATCGCTAGACACTTTCAATCTTCCCAATCATTCTAAGTAGCTTATGGAAGTTTGCGTTGCGGCTCTTCCCATCATCAAGGCAGTTTGGATAGTGGCAAATCTCCAGAACAAAAATTTATCTTTCAAATTGGCCCTCTTAATCCCCTCGGTGTCAACGAAGTCTTTTCATTCGACAAATTTATTTTTGTCTTTCTCGTTACCATGTTCCCACTGATAGCGTAGCTCGATTTTTTGCTTATAAATACACACAAAACCCACAATTTATCCTTTCGCTCTGACGAAGGGCAAACGCTCGAAACGTCTGCTTTTTAACTCTTTACAGAGGCCAATTTACGTTATCAACTCAGTCGATAAAACCAAATTACCCTGTTATACACTCCCACCGACACAGCAACACAGTTTCTTTACAAACTTACCCCCTTTATTCATCTTTCAGGCTGTGTGTCGTTCTGTTTACTAAACAAGGCCAAAATGACAAAGAGAAGCTTGCTCTGAGGTTGTTTGCAACAGATAAAAAATACCTCTCCGAGAGGCGGTTGAAATTTTTGTATATTTACGAAGATGTGCAGAGAGATCTAGTGGAAGAGTTCAAAGATGGGGTGAAGGCTGATAGTTGCACTGAGAATAAAACAGCATCAAAGGTAAAAATGAACAATTGTAAACTTAACAAGTAGACTCCACGTTACTAGCTGTGTTTCTGTATAGTAATAGATCACAGATGGCTAGCAAAGTGTGATAAGAAGGAAAAACGTGGTACACGTGGCACAGCTGAATGGGTCGGTGATACTTATATCTGGATCACTTTCCATACTCAATTGGAAATTGTTCCAAAAGACGTATAGAGGAAATTACTTTTTATAGTGTAAGTTGTCGATAGTTTAACTCCCATAAACTATCCCAACCCCTTCTGGGAACTGGGAGGGTGTGGGAAGAAGAGGGAGCCTTGGAACAAGGTTTCATAGCAATCCCCAGCAGGGCTCATACCCAGACCTCTGACGGAGGGCTAACGCTCTTGTCTCTTAATTTAGAGCTAGCTACGTTTACTGTTAAATCGTGACATCTATAATGGTGTCTCTTGATGTCTCATGAACTAATGATCTTATTTTCTAAACTTGAGGTCATAGTTCTCTGGAACAAAGGTCAAAAGCAAGTCAGGTACGACTGGCTTCCAGGGGGGTGGTGTGTGAATGAGTCAGAAGAGTCGCTGACCAAGGCTCGGCTGTCTGTTATGCTGGAAGATCTACTTTCTGGAGAGGGCAAGTTGCGATATACTTCAAGTATTCCACGGATCTACAATGAGCATGCGCCAGTGAGTACACTTGCACAAACATTGCATACATGTATATACCCCAAATGTTCCACTAACCCCGACCCCTCTCCCTTTGATAATTCCTCCACCTTCCTCACCCCAAAGAAAAATTGCTGTGCTAGATAAATATTTATACACGGTAAAATCCTTCAGCACAATCTAAGAGAATAAAAAATCTAATTCTGCCTATCTAAACTAACTAACTTATGATAAGAATAAAAAATCTACCATATCTTCAAATCCGCTTTTCTAAGATGCTGTGTCTCATTCAAAAGCTATAATGACGTAGTTCATTTTTAAATTCGTTTTACATAAAGAGCTTGGAGCTTAGAGCTTCTGTAGTTTCTCTGATAGGCCAATGCCGCAGTTGCCTCGAACAACGCTGCAATAATCAAAATGTGGCTGGTATGCTGTTATACAAATCAGTTAGAAACATCTAAAGGAACAGGCAGTTTCTTTACAACCATTCTGTACTTAGTTGAGCAAGGTAGAGTTTCAGTACAAAAAAAACTCTATCGCTTAATGGAATAAGTATGATATGCCTTCAGATGATTTCATTATGTTTTCTTGATTGTCTAATTTTTTTACGATTTAAATAAACAAAAAATGTGATAACTAAGATGCCATAAGCTTGTAAATCGAGGGCAGGGATGGAATATCATCTATAGGCACGTATAATTAGTCACAGGTAAAGAGACAGCAGTTTTCATCGGCTCCTCTTCTTCTTTAACGCTCTCTCTTAAATACGTTACAACGGACCACGACATCTTCCCAGTCAAGAAAAAAGAAAAAAATAACACCAACAAGAGAAATGCTTATATCCAGAAAAAGAGGAGCAGATGAAAATTGATTTCTCGCGCATGAAAGAAAGGGAAAAATGGTGCTCTGTCTTCGTTTGGATTTATGACAATGGGAACAATTTTTTTTGTTCTTTTTTAATTCCAAGGGACTCCTATCTTTGTTGTTCAGCTGGTGTTCAGATGCCTATTACTTCGTGAAATCGTCTTTGTATCGGTAAGTTTTAATCAGTATTTTTACTTTTTGCGCTCATTTACACGGGGTCATCAAGGAACCAAAAATACATACGGTAGTAAGTGATGGCAATAGAACTGGGTGGAGTGTTAGAATCTGTACGATACGTTAACTCGTCTTAATTTGATTGACATTTATAAGCAAAGTTGTTTTGCAGCTGGGCGAAGTTTTTTGCAGCGGGGGTCAAACTTGTTTGCCGCGGGAGTTGGGGCGAACTTGTTTGGCAGCGGAGGGGGCGAATTCGTTAAGGGGCGAACTTGCACCGTGGTGAAACTTCCAGATATCTTTCTTGGTTAAGAATATCTAAGTCGGATTTTACGATATGCATGATAAATAGGCTTTCATGTTGTATTGAAATATTGTCTGGGGTAATTGTTTCTTCTTTGTTATGTTATTCTAGGAACGTCGTTTCATTTTCAATTTTGTATCATGTTGATCTGTTTCGTTACATTTTCTTTCAGGAGAGAAACTATTTCCTTGTTTTCCTTGTTGTGTGGATTGGGAGTCATTCTGGTTTTCAGTGTTCTACTTCCCAGTGCGAAGTGAGTAATGATTCATTTAGCTCTAAACTCGCTCTTTCTGTCTCTGTTCTAAATTCTCTCAGGCGTCTTATAAGGGAGAATGAGCAAGCGTTGCAAGTTCGCGATCGATCACCGGCCCATCATGTTTAATGTAAGGTGAGAGTCGACGAAGAGAGGAGGATAAGAGAAAATGTGAGGATTTGTTTTGCCCCTCTTACTCCCTGCTGTCAAGATTCAGCCCGTCGCTCAACTTCCGTAGTTGAACTTTCTTCTTCTTCCAACCCTCCTCTGCTTTGAAAATTCAAGATGCCAACGAAACTGTTCACGAAGAAATGCTGAGCGCTCGCTTGCCAAAAGTACGCTAACACTACAAGTTAGACTTTTAATCCAAGTTTTTACAATTTCTATAGTGAGCCAATAAATAGGGTGTACAAAGGGTCCTCTCAGAAGAACCAGAGACCCCCAGAAAGCGAGTCAGTCTTGGGCCTCCTTCGTTTGGACCACAGCACTGAAAAGACCCTAATCAGGGATGCCCCTCGGGGCCAAATCACGTTTACTCTGCTGGTTGATGCTACCACTGCACGAGAGGTAGTAAAGCTGCCTCTAATTCAAGCGTTTGCCGATGTGATTTATCCTCACAGCGGGTATGTTTATAGCAACTAGATTTGATAGGTTTTCCATCATCTCCCTCTCTGATTGGTCAAAAAAATCTGTACTTCCCTCTAAACCAATCAGATTAAAAAATGAAACCAATCGCGGCTTGGCTGCTCGCGTTTTCCCGCGCAGGAGTTAGTGTGCTGGTCTCAAGTTTGAGTTGTTTTCATTGGCTGGTTATGATATTTCCCTTTGTTGTGATTGGTCTAGAAACTTGCGCCACCTTCTCAACAATTAGATTCAAAACTGAAACCAATCGCGACTTAGTCGCCCGCGATTTCTCGCGCTTGAGGAAGTTTTCTTGTTTGCAGTTTTGAGTAAAGAAATTTACCTGATTTTTTTTGTTTGTTTTATTTCTGTCAGAAACCCAAATTTTAGATTCACCTGGCTTTCAATAACTGACAACCTTGCGTGGTGTGCCGAGATTCTGGATGTGGACAAGTTTGGTGAAGTGACTCCTGGAATTGTTCTCGCCTTAAACGGCTACAAGAAATATTTGTCTGTCTTCAAACCGTCTGACCTGTCTGAGGGAGCCTTCTTCAAGAGGCAAGGAGGAGACTTAATGGGATTTGATGATAGTGATAGCGATACGGATGCTAACGAAGATGGAATGACGGAATACGAGAGAAAACGGCAAAAAGTTTTAAGTAGATCGATTCGAACACAGTTAGTACATTGGTTAGAGAGATTTTGCGACGGAATGGTGGACAGAAAACGAGTCGTCGAATGGCCGAGATTTACCGACTAGGGGTTCTTAGCAACTAGCTAAGAGCATTTATGAGTAATCGCCCTAGGATTCAAAAAGTGCAGTCAGACCTTGAAAATCGACGAAAAATCGCTCGGCCACTTTTTGCTTTATGTTTACGTAATTACTAAAGAAAACTCGCCCACTTGGCGTTTTCAGCCTCAGTTGTCGTATTCTCAAACACCATCGAACTGTTGCATCCTCATTCCTCGATTTTTGTTACTAAATCAGTCTACTAACTACTTTCCACGATAGAGATGTCACTTGCTTGCTCACCATTCCCCTTACGCTAAGGGAGGGTCTAGCAAAGAGACTGGATCCCACAGGCCCAACTCATAATGGTAACTATCTCTCTTGATAACTTAAGATTTCGGAGATGTCCAGACGATCTCAGAAATCCTGTCGGCGAAAGTTTTGTGGAAATCTCTCTAATCTTTTTTAAACAATAAACAGTTTACAGAAATAATGTCACTCGGAAGAACAAAAATTTGAACCCAAGATATTTATTTAGAGGTTTTTAAGCCTCAAGTGAGAAGTTTTTTTTAATAAATCAAATGTACAGACTAAATTAAGTTCAAGTACACGTGTATGTTATGTGCCTGTACGAGGTTTGACAACTGATTGAATGATGTAAAGGTACAAATGTACAGAAAAATAAAACTTTGGAAAAGGACGTGAAACTGGACGACATCTTGAAGTCGCAAAATTAGTGATTAGCTTCTAATTTCTCCATACGATATCACCGCTGAATCGCACGTTAAGGTCAGAAGAATAAAGGAAATGATCGCAAACTTCTAAAGCTCTTGATTGACCAAATTCTCCTTGTCAGTACCATCGAAAGTGTATGGAGAACAGTATGGAGAATTTGCATACTGATGTTAGGGTGTGAATAGTTAATACCTGACTGCACTGATGTGTGGCCTGGGCAAGCTTTTCACGGCTTTGCTACTCAGGCTGAAAAGTAAACGACGACCTGCCTGGAGTTTGATTCATGTAGACATAGCAACTGTTCAGATAAAACTACTGGTGCACTTTGGAATCTTTGTAGGCAGCTTCCAAAGAGCCATTTTTCAATTACTCCAGAATAGGAATGTTTTGAGACCGTTTAGCTCGAAACTCGACGCGCGGACTAAAATGTCAACAGTTTGACATTTTAGTCGCAAGACAAACGATTTCAGTTTTCAAGTAAACTGGTTAAATATCTGGGGGGGGGGGAGGGAGGCGTCAAAGGTACGGGGAGGGGTGAGGGAGCCCCTTAACTTTCCACCTCCTCCAGAAAAGTTCCCCGCTCCACTGGTTGTTTTTCCCCTTCTCCTCGTCACCATTATTGGTGTGTTTTCATCCACTCTCTGTGATCCACACGAAGCCACGAACGGAAAGCTCAAAATTCAATAAGTTACAACCTTCCTGCAAAACGTGCATCCATAAATTGTTCGATTTAGTTTCTTCTCGATTCTCTTTTACTTTGCGCCCTTTTCTTCTGGGTGACTTTGACGTGAAGAAACGCAGGAGTTAGCGTGACGTCGAGGAATGGTGGCGATGTTACGTCTTCAACGATTATTACATAGTCACCTGTGGAAAGGCAAAAAGAAAAATAGTCTCTTCACCGTTTTACGGAAACCTGGAGCCAGACTAGAAAAAAAGAAGGTTAGGTTACTATTAAAAACGAAGCGTTACTAATGTTGGTCTTGATTGGTTCGTCGCGCGTAACTACGCTCTGTGATTGGTCTGAGAAAAAAACCCGCCACCATTTCAACCAATCAGATGCAAAGCTAGGGCCGACCGCGACTTAGTCACCCGCTTTTTCCCGCGGTTTTTTTCTCTGAGTCCTCATTGGTTCTTTGAGATATTTCCTATCTTCTTATTGGTCGGAGTGTTATTGTAATCACTTTCAATTAGCTATCTTTTTTTAAAAGAATCAACTTCATTGAAAAAAGCTCTGTAGAACCGGAGACGAGGCCATTTAACTAACCAGGTTTACAAAATTTGTCATCTTTTTCCTCTTTCTTTTCCTTCTTCCTTTTCCCGTCTACTTTGTCCACCACATCAGCTAAGGCTTCTTTCTTCTTCCTTCCGTCTGAAACTGCCGACGAGGGAACACTTCGGTTGACAACTTTGAGCAAGTTCGCGTTCAGTAAAGAACTACGCTTGTCCTTTGATCTGAAATAAATGGAAGCTACGTTACGATTTTATACAGAAAAGTATAAAATACTATTTCGATAAGATAGAAAAAATATCAAAATGGGAACCATAAACCACTACGGCCAAGGAAGGAGACGATCGATTAGCAAGGATTGCGAATTAAAAACTTAAAAGTGATCTTTAAGCAGATTTCAGCTTTTCACAATATCTCTATACAAGTACTACGATAGTTCTCGTGAAAAGCGCTATAAAAAAAAAAGAAATTGCCCCACCCCTCTCCTCTCATTCCTTTTGACCGTCACTCGCCCCCTTGGTACAAATTGCTTTCTTTCCCCATCCTCCCACTACTGTAAAAATCTAAAATGGCTGTAAGCGAGGCTAAGGAAACGCGGGAAACACGAGTGATCAAATTATGATGGTTTTAGATTTGAATTCGCTAGGTTTTCAGTTTTTAAACTAATCATTAGGCGCGGTAGGGAACACCAAAGCTTTTCTTAAAGATTTTCTCAAGAGGAAGTATCTAACGTACTTTGTATCTGCGAATCTTACGCCCGCTTGCATTTCAGACGGCGGGGATGCCTGTAGAGAAGCAAAACTGTTTAAGGGTTTCACCCCAGGGGGGAGGGGTGGGATGTAGAGATTTTCAAACAATGCTTTCCCTGCTGTAGTGCGCACGGGAGAAACAGGAGGAGGGAGAACTGCCACCGGAGGAACCATAAGTACACCAGGATCAGCTGAGTGTGAAAACAAACAAACAAAATAAACACTTTCATTAGCCTTTGAGCAGGGCCTCGTTGTTATGCTGCGGCACGCGAGAAAATTTGAGGCGAGCAGGCAAGAGACCTGCGAGGGATCTGGCACCCATTATTAGTGCAAGACCCGCGCAACTTTAAGGCCTTTTAAACTTTCTCGCGGGCAAAAATCACTCGCCTACACTAAACGCCTGCTCGTACTCTATATTTCAGTCATATGGCAAACTCTAACTAGGAAGATTAAACAAATTCAGATCTGCATTCTGATTGACTACCGAAATTTACCTCTGTAAGAGATTAAAGCTCCTTTTTTCCTTTTATTTTTTTGCGGTTTTCAGGCAAATGCAAGTACGTGCTTTGCGAGAGTCACGCACAAAGGGAAAGTCACGCGCAAAGGGCAAGTCACGCGTAAAGGGCAAGTCATGCGCAGATGAAAATTTCTGTGAGCAGATTAAAATTTCTTTCCTGAATTAATATTTGCGCGATACAAATCAATAAATATTTTTTGCTATTATTATTATTATTATTATATTATCAAGTCATGTGCTAGAGAAGCATTATAAAGTTTTCTTGACCAGTCACACAATAGCCTGTAGAACAGGAGTAATGTTTTTCGTTTTACGGCGAACGAAGACACGCACGAGTCGCACGCAAGGGGAGGAACATGATGGAAAAAAAAAAAGGTCTTTTCCTTGCGTGTATCCCCCGCCCTTCGCGCGTGTCCCTCGTTCCTCTCGCTCGCCGCGCGCTTGCCTATGTTTGTCTGAAAAAAAGAAGAAATGGACACTGCAGGCTAATCACATAAAGCAAAAACAGTACAACCCTGGGCTATTTTAAACACTCAATTGAAGAACCCCATACAAAAGAAATCCCCTTACATGACCCATCTCCTTGAGTAGTTGTATTCTTGTCATAGCTCGCTGGCATCATGGTGCTGGCTTGAGATGGTGCAGCTGTTCTGCTTGGCAATTCGCCATGAGCCTCAACAAATGAGCCCTCCTTATCTCCAACATCAGACATATCGGTTACCTAACAACAGGAAAACACCTTTAAAACACTTCATTAAGAAATACTTATAGGGAGCTCTCAAAGTTTCAGGAAATGTAATGCCATTTGTATCTTTAGATTTGTGGATCAAGATTCAGGTGTTCAGTTATTAAAACAAGGTGCAATAGTTGCAAAGTAGTGAAAAACATGAGTGAGGTCTGGGTTAGGTCGTGTAACAATTTAGAGTGTATTTACCTGAATATTTTCCATGGGTTTGGAAAGTTCCTCTGCATTTGGCGGTGATGCTTGGACAGGTCTGCTGGACATAACACTTGGGGCTTGTGAGGCAGCTCCTGGGAACACAGATTCACTTGATGCTATCTCTCCAAGCATTTCTGTTAAGGGGTATGGCTCTATTTCAAATCCGCTAAAGTAAAAGAAAACAAAAGATATTTAAAAAAGGTCAAAGAAATGTCTTGAAGTCAGCATGCAAGCAGGCCATCATTATCAGAACTACAGCATAAGTGTCTCTTTGCCTTTGAGAAAGTATGAGGCCTGGGCAATGCAAACCAACAAGAGGCCTTTAAAGGGTTTAGCACTGATAATGAGGCGACAGACCCCTTGCCAACCTCTTCCTGACCCATCTAAAAGCTTCCTGCAGGCATCCAGCATCCTGCAAGGCTAATAAAGAAGGCCTCCTCACAGACTGTATTGAACTACGCTCCATTTCCAGCCATTTTGGGGGCATGGTTTTTCACCCTCCTTCCACTAAAAAGGGTCTAAAAAAGCAGGCTCAACTCATAGTCATACATCAGAGTTTTAAAATTAAAAGAAAAGTTTCCAAAAGGGATCAGATAAAAATGTCTACAGAATTTCATTGCCAATGATTCAAATTCATCATTCATCTAATTTGTTTAACCAGTTTTAATTTCATTTTTCTTTCAAAAGATAGATATCTGTCATCATCATTTAAAACAAAGGAAAATAAAAAATCAACCTGATGTTTAAATAAACACACACACATGCTAGAAAAAAAATTTGAACCACAGAAATTATAATTTCATCAAGAAACATTTACCATTTAACCCCTAAAACCCTTAAAGTGACCAGCATCTACTTTCTCCTTACAACAATAGTGCAAAATCATACATTAGGATCATGAGAATAAAAGAAATGATCATCAAACTAGGAAGCTTTGATCATTACACAAATTCTCTTTGTCAGTACCAAAGGAAATGTATAGTGAAGGCTAAGGAGAATCTGAATACTGATGTTAGGGTGTAAAGGGTTAAGGGCTTTTGTTTCACACTTACAATGGTGTCATAACTGTATCAAGGTCACTTTCACTGCCACCTGCTGATTTCCTTCCTGATGAAACTCTTATTCCAGCTGTAACCTGCAACAAGCGTCCTTCCTCTGAAACAAAATTCATTTCTCTCTCAATAATTCTACTTTAAATTCAAATGAATATGTCTGTAGCACGATTAAGGGGCTTTGACCCCAAAGAGTGACTAGCATGTAGTTTCTCCCTACAGTATCCCTCTGAATCAAACATTAAGGTCATGAGAATAAAGAAAATGATCACCACTGTATCTTGATTTGTTTACCAATCAAGATCTTCTCCAGTTGATGATCATTTCCTGTCTTCTCATGACCTTTAACCCTTTAACTCCCATGAGTGACCAAGACAGAATTTCTCCTTACAAGATCGATACAACATCAACCAGATGAGTGATGAGAATAAAGAAAAATATAAATTTGGGGATAATTAGATGATCCAATACTAAATTCTCAGAACAAACATTGTAAGAATTGTATGGTTGACAGTAAGGAGAATTACAAATTTGATCTGAGAGTTAAAGGGTTAATGTGCAATTCAGGGGTAACACTGCAGGGTGAAATTAAATACTGGTTACTCCGAGGGGTTGGGAGGTTAATGTATCCAATAGCAAAAATGACTTAAATTTTAGTCAATGTTGTTTTATATCCCATTAACATTAAATTCTAACCATTTGTTGGTTCCCCTTCAGCTGTGACACACTCAACTTCAAATCCAAATGGTCTTCCTTGTGTGAATTCCAAGTGATCATCTCCAGTTATACGGATCTGCACTGTCTCCACTAAAATCAAAAATATTTCATTAATATTTTGTGGTTAAGGCTAAATTAATTTTAAAAATTCATATTTTTATTGGCTCACTAAGCATAGGGATATTGACGAACTCTTTCACTTCTAAGATCTGATTTTCAATTCTCTCCTCTACCTGCTACAGATTTTCTTGTAAATTATTAACAAGAATTTGGTGTTACTAGTAGATCAAGATAACAACCTCTACCTGATAAGTTTGCATATTCTCATTACCTGTTTGCAAGATAATGTATAGCTATTGTACAAAGAAGCTACATCTTTGTCACCTCTGGAGTTAAAGGTTTAACAGTTTTTTAGAATCTTTACCTTCAGGTCTGCCATTAACCCACATTCCTTCATATGAGACACCAGAATTGTGAAACATGGATCCTTCACCATTGAAAACATCTCCCCACCACTGACCCTGTATGAGATGGTACAAAGTATATGAAAATTAAAATATAATAAGCTTTTAGTCAACATGTCCAGGAATAGATGATGTCACCATTAACAGCCTTTAGCATTTTTATCATAAAAGGCAGCCAAACAGATTCCATGTTGCTGTAGGTCTGTACAATAAAAATCTCAGATGACGTCAAAATGTGGTATGAACACCTTTCATGTGAAATACTTAGCTGTGCCTCAATTGTTTGTCACTCTTTTGTGCTTACCACATTTGGATATCATCTGTGATCTGATATTGAATTAAGACCCATAGAAGCAATTTGGAATAGATAAACGCAAATTTTGTTGCATGGTATTTGGGTAATATGTTAAGAAAAATCATTTGTATCTTCTGCATCACATTGTCCTTATTACAAACACATTTGCTATATTCTCAAACCATACAATGTAGGTAAGATCAACAGTGCCAATTTTTCATAAAGCATCAGATATTGAAGAATTCTTTAACTACTATCAGTGCAAAATTCTCCTCCCTACCAAATTGCAAGGGTCTGGACTATTTTCTATTCAGATTTGAAGCCATAATGAAAACTCTGACTGCATATTCTGAAACATAATTCACTCATCCCATTCTTCTGATCAAATGAAGCATTTAGTCAGGGAAGGAAGAGAGGGGTTTTTTTGGTAATTTTTCTTTTATCCATGGCATTTTATCAAGAGCAGCATATGTTGGAATTTTTTTTTAACAATTATGAAAATTTCAACCACAGGTAGGGGAAAAAACTTTTTTTTACTGACCCCATAAATAGTTCCATCCACAAATTTCATGATTCCATGTCCTTGGCGCAAATCATTGACCCAGTCTCCTTCATAAACATCACCATCGCTGTAAACATTAATAAAAGAGAAAAGTACAAAATTGCAACATTTTCTCCAATATGCACAAGAATTGATTAATATGTAAGTTCTCCCAAAAATATCCATACAATATCCAGAAAACAAGGTATTAAGAATACTCAGATTTATCAAGTAGAAGTTGTTTTCTTAATCTAACTTAATCCAAATTCTCATAACTTATTTACAAGGCAATGTGTGGCAGCTAAAGGGGGGAATTAACTGGATCCAAGGAGTTATAGATTTAATCTGCTTCATAGTTGTTTGGTTATGAAGTGCTCTTTTTTTTATGAGAAAAAATTTCTCCTCACAAATTTGTAACAAACTGGAGTTCTATCTTTTAGCCAAGTATATTGATGAAACTCATTTGAAAAGGTCCAAGATTACCTATTGCTAACAATTACTCAAGACAATGATTTTTGGCAGTTGTCTTTCGTAAGACAAGCTGGTTAAAAGAAACATTTAGCTATTAACACCCTAACATCAGTATGTATATTCTCTATAGTGTTCTGCATGCATCTCTTAAGGCACTGACAAGGAGAAATTCCTAACCAATCAAGAGCTTCTTTAGTATGTGATCATTTCCTTATTCTCATAACTTTAATGTTTGATTTAGGGGTGATATTACAGGGAGAAATTATACACTAATCACTTTAAGGGGTCACAAGGTTAATTTTTACTATGTTTGCATTAGCATTATCAAACCTTAGGATCCATTTTCCTTCACCATGTCTTCTGTGTTTGTGGAAAGATCCCTCATAGATAGATCCATCTTTGTTGGTAAGTTTACCTTCTCCTAAGACAAAAAATTGATAGAATGGGAAAGATGGTGAATTCCAAGTAATTCTTTCCTAGTGTTTACACTGCAGATCAAGAATTGATGATAATCAATTAATAAGGTTTGAGAATCTACTTCAGAGATGAAAATCATCAGTAACTAGAAACTCATTACTAAGTATCAGTTTAACAAAAGATTCCATTTTGCATGTGTATCTGTCCAGTAATAGATCACAGATGACATCAAAATGTGATAAGAACAAAATAAATGGCAAATGAGGTACAACCAAGTGTATCACACATGTCCTTACCACATTTTGATATCTTCTGTGATCTATTACTGACAGTGACTGAACAAACCCAGGGCAACATGGAATCTGTTTGTTTCATATAAAAAGGAAAAGGATGGTGACATCATCTTTGCGTCTTTCCTCCAATAGGTCATAAGAAGAACCAAGCAAAATCCATATACGATTCATCTTATCGTGATATTAGATTTACCTTCCCGCCGATTTTCAATCCATTCTCCTTCATATCGTGATCCATCGCCATATACCATTACTCCATGGCCATTCAGTTCACCTTTAACAAACTGTCCAGTATATTCATTCCCTGTACTAGCCCAGCGGCGGAATCCATGCCCCTGGATTTCCCCGTCAATGAACTGTCCTTCATAGAAGCTGCCATCAGCCATCACAAGCTTACCATGACCTTCAAAAGATTTAGAAGTATATTTTCAGAATACCATTTGAATAATTGCGTGATCATCAATTTATTTGAATTTTTTAACAGTTAAAGACTTAGAGAAATCTATATTGTATTTAAATCCACCGAAAAAGGTGTAATAAAAACCCAAATTTTGAGAAACAAGCTTATTTGCATCCATGTACGTACAGTAAAAAAAAGGTTAACATAATGATTTATTCAGTTAAATCCTACCATGTTTTTTCCCTTTGCTCCATTCCCCCTCGTATCTGAAGAACTTGTTGGAATAATTGTATACTCCAAATCCTTAAAAATAGCATAACATAATTAGAAAATAAATCGTGATTGTTGATGTTTCGTGTAGCTCTTGGTAAAATTAAAGGGATAAAAAGCGAACGTTTTTACCATCTCTGAGCTGCTTTTTGGTTTCGCCGATGTAATTTCCTGCTCCTTTAGATGTTGTGGTGTTCAACAACGTTGCCATTTTCTGCAAGAAATTAGTAAGCAAACTTTATTTTGCCATGTTGCAGATTGTTTACAGGAATCCAAGCAATCGATCCGCCATCTTTGTTTTCGAGTGGTTGCTAAGCGCACAGGCGCACACGTCAGCGGATTTGATCGCGTAATACATTCAAAATGGAGGACGTTGGAAACTGAACTTCGTGCATTTTTACAGCGGAAAAACTTTGTTAGAATGGAAGAATACGGCAAGGATATCATTCAAGGAACGTGTTTAGAGATGTGTCCTGCAAGTGAAGTTTCTTCCAGAGAGAAACAGCGGAGACTTCACTTCTTTGAAACTGTTGCTTTTACCAGTCCATCTCGTTGTAGCGAACACCATCTTGGCAAGTTGATTGCAGACCCCCGAGCAGTTATAAAGGAATTTTCGCGCTCAGCAGCGGGAAGATCTATTGATCCATCAGAACTACGACCAGCGAATGTCCTTTTAAGCACCATGAATTACTTAATCGAGGAAATCGCCTCCAAAGATAATACCTATTCTTGGCAAATGATATACTGGTTTATATTCGACCGAGCAAGAGCCATAAGGCAAGATTTGGTAGTTCAGAGAATCATTGGAAAACCTGTGATGGAAATCTTTGAAAGAATTTGCAGGTTTCATATTTTATCGGGTTACAGACTGTGTGAAAGTCCACTAGATGCTTTTGATCCAAAAATTAACAATGATCACACAAATGAATGTTTGAAGAGACTTCTGTGCTTCTATGACGAGGAAGACCCTTTTGCTTATCGAGACACAAGAGCAGAATTTGAAGCATACTACCTCTTGCACAATCTCGGCTCTTTTGAAGCCTTAAATCGCGCTGTGAACTTGCCGAAAGAAGTCAAAAACAGCTGTCTATTACAGCTAGCTTTTGACATCACGACATGCATAATGCTTAAGAACTTTGTTCGATTCTTTAGACTGGTGAAAAGGCTGCCATTCCTAGCATGCTGTGCTGTTCATAAACACATGCAACAAGTGAGAGGAGATGCTCTCGCTGCCATCAACACCGCATACTTTTGTCGCAACGCAAGTCTGCCCTTGGCCCTGCTTCTTGACATGTTAAATTTCGATAACGCTCAAGATGCTGGTGAATTTTGTTCGCATTTTGGTATGGAAGTATCGGGAACATCTGTGAAGCTTGTCAAAGGCAACTTGAACAGTTTAAAAAGCAGCGATGCTCCACTAATCAGAGCAAGATTTTCAAATTTGATAGATACCAAACTGACCTTAACCACTCGTGACTTACTGAATGGGAAATGTAGTGAAACTAAAGCACTTGTCAAAAGCTCAGTCCCTGAGTTGGTTTCTCTGACCTTTGGGAAAGGAATTTGCATCGACCAAAATGCAGCCATTGTAGAACCTCGTTCAGTTGTTAAACCAGCGTTTAATCCGCAGAAACAAAGCTATTTTGGCAGGGGAAGAGGACGAGGCAGAGGAAAAAAGCCAGTTTATTAGCTATCAAACCTTTTTTCACGGTCGTCCTTTCCAAGCATTCAGTTAATTAAACGGGGCGCGATGGTGGCAGAGGAATGGAAAAACGAGAGAGGCTTGGGTCGGTTCGCGTCCTAACCTCCCTCGTTTTGGCTCTGCCGCGATTAAAGCGCGCGTTTACCATTTCGCTCTGTTTTACCAAGTGAGCGCCTAGAAAGGGTTGGTCCTTGTATTATGTAAATATATTTTTATAGATCATTCAACACTTATGGTAAACGTTCGTATTTTAAAAAACCTTGGTATGGAAACCATAAATTTTCTCGTATGCTTTAGTCTGCAGTTTTTGGCAGAATTTGACGAGATTTCGTGCGACCAAAGCCATTATAGCTTTATGCAGGGCGTACAATTTGAGCGAATTTACGCTGCCCTGCCTCTTAATTTTACCGCTGTAGTGTAAGATACTATCTACTACAAGTAGTCCTCCTTTTCGGCGAAGTCCGTCTCACGAGTCCAAAAAAGTTAATGAAAAAATTTTTGACTTCATGATGCTGCACGGAGCTCGCTGGAATCCGTGCGGCGTTCTAATATCAACTTTTCCTCTTTTTTTTCGCGCGCTTTTTGGACGTCGCCGAAAACGAAGAACTGCTCGTAGACTAACGATATTATCATTGTGGCATCCACCATACGCGACGGAAAAAAAAGAAAAAAAAGACCTGTGCATGCCACACTGAGCAGACTGGTAGACGTATGGTTATTTGTCAACTGTAAAAGTGAGTTTGTGAATTCAAATGACAATTTAACTTGAGAACTGAAAATTTTTAGATTACGTTCCAGTTGAACGTCCTTTAATAAACGTTTCAACAATAATCTCTAACATCTTTGTCATTTATTAACCCTTAAAAGGGAGTCAGGGGAGAGAGAGAGAGCAGTTTTTGATGGCATTCAGAATTAAAGGATCAGTAGCGTTCAAAGGGCACAATCACTTCTTTTTTTTTTTTGTCAACGCGCGAATAACAGAAAAATAATGCACGATTGTAAACGGCGCCATAGTCGCGGGAGAGAAAAAACGAGGAAGGCTTGAGTCTGGTACGTAATGAACCGACCCGACCCGACCCAAGCCTCTCTCGTTTTCGCTCCGCCGAGGCCATTTCCAAGAATGCGACTGTTTAACTTTGTTTAAGTGAGTAATTTAGTGTTAACAACTGATTTGAAAACATAAATTGGCCACCGTTAAGGGTAAAAAAGCTGACCTTTCGAGCGTTAGCCCTTCGTCAATCGCTCTGACGAAGGGCTAGCGCTTGAAACGTCAGCTTTTTTACCCTTTACGGTGGCCAATTTACGTTTTCAACTCAGTTGTTAACACTAAATTACCTGCTATACTCTCTCACCGACGCAGCACCACAGTTTCTTTAGAAACCTACCCCTTTATTCATTTGGTTAAGTGACCTTGATAACAGTTTTGGTTATGTGAGTATTGCGGGTAGAACAGAAATTCCATCCACAGAGAGTTCTTTTTTTAAAACCTCAAATTAATAGCAACAAATTGTAATTGAATGCAGCTGAATTTATCGTTATTGTTGTTTAACGAGTGTAATCTCAACAGCAGTTCTTTCAGGAAAAGTTATACAGTTTGATCAACGCGCGGGGCATTAATCCATAAATTTGCGACCCATTTCTCTCCTTTATTCACATCACATGCGCCATTTAACGATAACAGATCCACCTCGCCCATCATTCCAGATTCCTCCTCTAGAACATGGTTGTACCAAAAAAGAGCGTTACCCTTTACGGGTTTCACAATCAAAGTTGCCTTTTGGCACCTCTTACTGAGATTTGAGGAATAGTTTCTTCCTGACAACAGTTCTTCGTGATCTGCGATCGGAAACGCAGTTTCTCCTCCTTCAGTGACGTTGTTCAGGTAGAACAGAACGGTGATGTACCTAAATAAAAAGGAAAACCAAAACATTAAGTGGAAAACAGTTACCTCTTAACTTTTTAACCCCTAAAAGTGATTAGAACCTAATTTCTTCTTAAAATATCATCCCCAAATCACACATTTAGGTTATGAGAATAAAGGAAATGATCACCAACTAAAGAAGCTCTTGATTGTTAAACAAATTCTCCTTGTCAGCACCTTGGGAAATGTCTAGAGCATAGTATGAAGAGTTTGTATACTGATGCTCGGGTGTAAAAGGCTAAAGCTGATTTTCATTAACAACGCAAGCACAAGCGCAAGCAAAAAAACAAACAGCTCTTAGCGGAAGATGTTTTTTCGTCTTGTCACGACGAGCGTGGCACAAAGAAAAATTATGAATCCCATGAGGAATCGAAAGCTAATCGAACCTCAGACCTTCAGATTCTGAGATTCTGATGCTCTACCACTAAGCAATAGAGACTCTACGGTGAGTAAGGCCACAGCTCTTATTTCACCGCGAATTAACGGCCTGGACCGCATTCTGATCCTTGTGCCCGTAATTCCGCTTGTATTTATGCTTGCGTCGAGGCTGTTTTCACGGTGAAATAAGAGCTGTTGTGCTTGCATTTGTGCTCGCACTAGTGGTTGCGTTGCTAGTGAAAACCAGGCTTTATACAAAGTCGGCATGTCATTTCACCTAATGGGGTCGAAGCCTTCAGAAAGGAATAAAATTTACATATGAAGGTTATATATATGAAGGTTATGATCCTATCCACCCCGCAAATGTCCAGAGTACATCACCTTGACGAGTATAATCCTAACATCGTAGTCAGTGGTTATAAACTAGAACTTATTAAATCTTGCAAACTGCTTGGAGTTCACATCAATGAGCATCTTAAGTGGGACGATCACATCACGCACACGGTATCGATACGAAGAAAATTGAAATACCTTGCCAAATATGAGCTTAGAAAGCAACTGGTAGAAACATTGATTTTGTCAAAACTAGATTACGCCGATCTGGGTTTTTACCCTTTACCACAATTCTTACTTCGCCGTGTGCAACGAGTTCAATTTGCTGCCGCAAGTTTTGTACTCGGTCACCATGTCAAGAACTTTTGGGATGTACTTAAAATCGGATGGCTTCCAATCAATGAGAGAAGAGATTTGAACCTCCTGAAATTATGCTTTAAAGCTTTGCATAACACTGAGACTTGGCCAGATTATCTTAAAATAATAAAACAGGAATGCCGCAAGGAACTGCGCTCAAGCAATTCAATTAGATTAGTGTTCCCGACCGAAAACAGCACTTTCCAAGATAACGCGTCGAAGCTATTTAACAATTTACCAGAATCTATTAGAAACTGTAAAGATTATAGAACCTTTTTAAGACTTTGAAGGAATTTTTTATGTAATAGAGTACAGAGTGATTAGTTAGTTTTGCTGTAATTTCTCTTCTGTTAATCCTACTTCTACTTTTAATTGCATATTGCATAATTTGTGAAATAACTTAATTTGATTTTTATTTTTTAATTTTGATTTTTATTGTAATTAATGTATTTTAACAGGGAAGAGCCACCTGGTGGATATGTTTATAAACTATCATCATCATCATCATTATTATTACTATTATTATTATTCGGTTAAGAATATATGAAAGTCATATATTTGAACTGCGGATAAAGACATGAATGAAAGTGATCCTCGCAGTGATGTGCACTACTTAGGCAGTAGTGAAAATAAGGCCTGAAAAAAATTCAGGCCTGTACGGGATTTGAACCCATGACCTCTGCGATACCGGTGCAGCGCTCTACCAACTGAGCTAACAAGCCAACTGGGAGCTGGTCATGATGGTGGTTCTAAATAAACCTGTGAAGTGATTAGTGAGTAGTGCACATCACTGCGAGGATCACTTTCATTCATGTCTTTATCCGCAGTTCAAATATATGACTTTCATATATTCTTAACCGTATATTAATCACTTCACGGGTTTATTTAGAACCCGTTTATTTAGAATTAGAGGAGGGGGAGGAGGAGGAGGAGGAGGGGGAGGAGGAGGAGGGGGGGGAGGGGGGGGGAGGAGGGGAGGGGGGGTGGGGGAGGAGGGGGGGGGGGGAGGAGGGGGGGGAGGGAGGGGGAGGAGGAGGGGGGGGGAGGAGGAGGGGAGGAGGAGGAGGAGGGGAGGAGGAGGGGAGGAGGAGGAGAGGAGGAGGGGAGGAGGAGGAGGAGGAGGAGGAGGAGGGGGAGGAGGAGGAGGGGTGATATTGTACAGAGAAAATAGCTGCTAGCTATTCTTGTGAGTCAAAGGGTAACAGACTGCAAAAAGCCTATAAGCTCACCTGCATATAAGACAAGAACTTTGAGATTGGTTCTCAAACTTCTGACAACATCTCTTTTCCTGGATTTCTGAACCCACATTAGAGTCATAATGGGCGTAATAATGGCCACCTTGCCGATATTTGACAACCTGTTAATATACAAACAAACAAACAAATAGAGTTTACTGATAGAATAATTTCCAATTAAGTGTCATCCTCGTTTGTTTTGATCTTGCTTTATTCTGCCCTGTTATTGGTCTTAAAGAAAAATTGTACACATCTTCTAACCAATTAGGAGCAATATCATTACAAATCACGACTTATGCCTTGCGTAACAGGAAAATTTCTGCAATGAGACAGAGGGGGAGGAGAATTTATCCCTCGAATCTAATCATACACACGACGCGTTCCCTAAACTACGAGCAGTCATTCTTCGGCGAAGTCCGTCGCGTGACTTAAAAAAAGTATGAAATGTACGTACTGCCTTTCACTTCCAGAGTTCCGCGCGGTTGCGCTAACATCAAGGGTTTTTCTTTATTTTTCCTTTTTCGCTGCTTTGGTTTTGTTTTGTTTGTTCTTTTGTTTGTTTATTTTTTTGGGGAGGGGAGATACGCTACGGTCTTCGCCGAAAAGGAGAGACCATTTGTAGTCTATGCGCTTCGCCTTTGAAAGAGGACCACCCGCTGGACGAAGTCTTGCCCGTGTGCTGCGTGACAAAACTAGACAACGGGTGCAAAGAATCAAGTTTCATTGGCAAACAAAAGAGGTTTCTTTTCCACCCTATTATGGTCGAGGACAAGATCGAAATTTGAAGCTAAAACTAAGTGATCACTTTCTGTTCTTTTTTTACCTGTAAATCTTCGCTGTGCTCAATCTGCAACGCAGAGATCTGAGTAACCTCTGCTACTCTTCTTTTAATTCGCTCCAACACAGGATCTTTTTTACTAAACTCCACCCAAGCGTGCATACTGTATCTTTCATTATAGTAAGGGAAGCGGTACATGGTGTGAAATCGATACACGAACTCTACAAACTGCGTTCGATTCACCTTAGTGCAGTTCTCGTAGGTGATGTACGAAGCTCCTTCGAGGAGGAGCGCTTCGTAAGCGTTCCACACATCGTTGCGGGTCACCAACATTTTTTTAACGCGGTATACATAATCATTAAACTCACGAACAGTTATATTCCCGTCCTCATTCTTGTCGAAACGGCAGATTCTCTTGCAGTAGATTCCCATTTGTCTCTGTGTCAACGTTGTGTTCACATCCTCTCTAGTCATCGTTGCTCTACGTGCGGTTGCGCTCTCTGCGAGACCATTCGTGTTCGCTAGGTTTACCAAGTGATCGCATTCATCGTCGCTTAGCAGACCTGGGATTTCAAACACGGGCGGCTTTACACTTCGGGTTTTTAATTGCAAGGTCTTCTCTTCATCAACTTGGATGGTTTGTACGTGATCTACAGCTACAGGATCTCTCCTTGGAAGTCGTACGTCTGAAATGGCAGAGTATAAACCATCTTTATAGCACGGTTCTTGTTCGCCGTCCCCATCCACGCCGGGGCCACCAAAGGAACATGTTTCACCTTTGCTTGGCTTCAAATCCGATCCACGAATATGGACGAAACCACATGTTATCACAAGAGTGAAGAAAAAATATTTCAAGGGAAAAGACATGATGAGGTGATATCTGCCAAAGATAGGCAGAGCAACACCATCGAAGAAGAAAGGAGTTGTTGTTGTCTGTATTATCTCAAACTTAATAAGATCAAAGGCCGTTTGTTTATCGCTGCACGATGCCCGCACAAAGACTCAGCTAAGTTTTTGTCATTTGATACTACAAGCTGTAACTGCAAGAAATATTAGATAGAGTGACTGACAAAACGCCACGCAAGAAGGTCACGCGAGGGGCGCAAGAACGCGCCGTTCACATTTTTGCCTTGAAAAGGCCTATCTGAAGAACCAAAACACTACAGTTGAATGGCGTCATGCAAGATATTATGAACTGATCTCTTGCGTCATGATAAAAAAAAACAAAAGCGGAAAAAAATGTAAAAACAAAATAAAACCTCATGGGGCAGTTGATTTTTAAAAGTTTAACAGGCCTGGTTTGATCAGGGAAAAGATCCAGGATTTTTCTGTATTTCCTCGAAGAAGCCCCCTCCTCAGAAAAAGTGCCCACACTCCGCCAGCTCCCTTCGTCCATCACTTTCTTAAATAATAGAAATACAAGGAAAACCTGTACACATTTCCACTTTATCTATGACTTCTTATGGTTTAACTACGACGCGATTAGTACAGGATAATGAATTTTCCCCTGTATTTCCAAGAATAAGCGCCCACGCTCTAATCAGCGCTCTCCCCAAATAAGCACCCACCCCAGGTCATTATGTCAAGCAAGAGCCCCTTTCGAATTAGTATCCCCCCGTCCCCCAACTAATAGGGATACTAAGAAAACCTGTTGCTGTGGCTACATTTTTGTATCTTCAACTACAACAGCATCAGTGCTGTCCTTTTTCGTCAAGTCATTTCCAGTTTTTTCCATCTCCATTTGCTTGCTGTTCTTTTAATTTGGGTCCTATTGCCGCGCTCTTGGTAAACTTCGTAAGCATGAGCAACTAAACAATTCTGTAGTCTTCGAGGGCCAATTTACATTGGAAATTAACAAATGTTATTGGGATACTTCTGAAAAAAAAAGTTGATGATGAAAAAACAGCCCCCCGCTTAAGCACTGTCCTTCCGATAAGCGCCCCTCCTTCAAACCGAAATTTTATATAAGTGCCTAGGCGCTTACTTGAGGACATAAGGTGAGCCTGAAATTATGTTATTATGTTCGTAATCAAGTGCAGATTAGTAATCCACTTCATGGCGAGGATAGTATTCATGACACCACATTTTCATCAACATCCGCTGCCCCCAGAAGTTGACTTGGGTCTGATACGAGTATATGGGGCGAAATACAGATTCGTTTACTTTGTACTCAGAACCATTTTTACGTAGAGTAAATTTTGTTCTTTAGAAAGCGAATGCAGCAAAGAAGGATTTTGAGCAAGTGAGCGGCCATATAAAACAAAAATAACAACAAAATGACAAATAAAAGATATTCAAATTTCAGAACTTAAACGTTCAAAGTGACGTTAACGATAAGTTTGGGAACATATCCTGCTTAGGTGTGGCGACGTTCAATAGGGAAAGGGTTCGCCTTTTTTTTTGGGGGGGGGGAGGAAAAAAAAAAAGGAGAAGTACTGAGAATTTTTCATATCCCGAATTATTGAATAACCTCAGCAAATGTTCACTTTTTTCTCATTTCTCTCCCGTTTACCGATCTTTCCCTTGCCGTCTTCCCTTCCCTTCCTTACAGCAAAAGACAACTTTATTTACTCTTGTTTAAAAGAAACCTTCTAACTTCTAAACCTGAGTGATGAAGTCCTCAGAGTGTCCCAGTCTTTAAATTCATTCGTGATTTGGCTAAGCTTTAGAATCTATAACGAGCCGCAATTCAAGAACTGAGCCCACGATCCTCCTCCGAAGAGACATTTCTTTGCGAGGAACGAATACCAAGTCGGAATGATTGTCCAGACGGCCGTGACGTTTTCTAATTTGTTGCTAAGGTCGGAAGTCGCATAAGCACCGGCAAGTTTTTATTTTATATGCAAGATTTTTCTAAGCTCTGAAGATGAAACAATAGCGCCAACACCCTCTTGACAAATTCCCTGTCGTTTAGCTGACATGCAAGTTTTTCAATAGTTGCCGCGGACGAAATTTGCCAGAGGGGTATGAGAGAAGTTCAACCCCAGCAGGTATATACCGACAAGTGTAGTCCAGCAATATTTTCCTGATGGAGCAATTTTCAATTGAGTGTCGAAAGTAATCCAAGATTGCTTTGGATTACTTGACGAAGGGCTAACGCTCGAAAAGTCAGCCTTTTTACTCTTTACGGTGACCAATTTACGTTTTCAATTCAGTTGTTAACGCTAAATTACCTGCTAATCCAAGATTGCTTTGATTTTCTTTGACATTGCTCTGTGATTGGCCCAGAGAACTAGCGCCACTTTCTCAACCAATTAGATGCAAAACTTAAAACAATCACGACTTGGTCGCCCGCATTTTCCCGCGCTTTAATTACGATCTAAAACATTACAGTTCAATTATGAATTGTCGTCTTTTCTTAAGGGTGCGTTCAACCATACATTCGCAATCCACTTGACTCCCTCAATGACGTCACATCCACCATGTAAAGACAGCCAATCAAAGACACCCATGTGATCATCCCCGTCATGCTCTAAGAGATGATTGTACCACATGACCGCTTTGCCTTTCTTTGGCTGGATCAGTAGGTTAGCTTCGCGGCATCTTTCATTGAGGGTTACGGAATAGTTTCTCGAGTAGAAACGTTCAGGATCATCCGCCAAGGGGAATGCCGTTTCACCGCCTTTCGCCACGTTGTTTAAGTAAAGGAGAATGGTAACGAACCTGGAAAATTAATTAAGAGAGACTTAATTAACACAATAAACTATGTACCCATGTACCCATAAGCCAGAAATAGACATTGATATATTTAAAAATCTACAGCAGTTGAGGGCTTATTACAAACCCCTACTGTTACAGAGATCCCATAAAACATGGATAGGGGAAGACTAATTAGAGCGAGCCTTAGTGCCAGGTTTTTGCCGGCTCATTTTCTCTGCGTTTTCTTTTTCTCGCGTCTCCGCTCCGGGGGTAGTGCAATTAAGACCAAAGTATGTCATGAAGAACCAAGCTTGGGGGTAGGGCTTTATTATAAGCGTTGCAGGCGGCGCGTTTTTCCCCCGCTGGAAGATTTAGAGACGAGTCGGGGAAAGGTTTGTCGGGAGCCTGGCTCTAAGACTTATCAGTGCTAGACCCGGTTCCAGACCTCTCACTGATTCGCTCAAGACCTCCGAATATTTTCTTGCGGGCGAAGAAACACTCGTGCTGAAGCGTTAATAATGAAGGCCTGCCGGTGCGTAATAACGAACCTAGCAAAAACAAACCTGCACAAGTTGCAATCTTGAAAATCTTGTCCTTCACGGCAGCATTCCTTTATCCTGGCAGAATCGTGTGTTGTGTCGTAGTGAGCATTGTAATGGCCCAACACAGAGTAACGCACCACCTGAACATAAACAAAGCAATTTTCATCATCAGATGATCAAGAAGTTTTTGTCTTATGCCGCTAAGGGACGATATGCCTTCACCAATATCACCGGCCAAAAAAATGCATTCTAATCTATCAGAAGCGGAGCTTACATCTATCGGGATTTCGGTCGCGTATGTTGTCACGCACTCTTCCAAAAACGGGGTTAATTGTCTTTACGTGGGTGTACCTGGCAACGAAATCATTACGTGATAGTCCTTATCTACTTAAGGAGACAATGAGGTCTCCTCGCTTCCTTGAGAGTGATCCCTTATCAAAGGTCTTTATATTTTTATATGAAAACTTGCCTGAATTTCTTCACTTTTTTCTATTAAAGTTCTTGACAGGCCCGTGAGCTTAGCGATCCTTCTCTGTAGCGATCTCACAACGGGCGTGTCTTTAGAAAGCACTGCAGATTCACTAAAGCGAATGAAATACCGAGGATCAGATTTGAGTTTCTCGACATGAAAAAGGAACTCAACGTAGGTAGCATTTGTGACGTCTGCGCACTCCTTGTCATCAACAAATCCGTCTGAGTTGAAATCAAATAAAGTAAATATCGGCAATGCATCTTCCTTTGTCGGATAAACATATTTCTCTAGATCCACAAATCTTATAAATTCTTGTAGGGTTATTTTTCCGTCCCGATCAGTGTCATAGACAGGTTTCCAGCAGAACAGAGTTTTTTCGAGGGTCAAATTCTTTGAGGCCAGCTTCTTCAAGAATTCCTCTTTACCAATTCCTTCTCCTTTTCCCTTGATTGTTAAGCTGTCCTGAAGGTGACTTTGTTGGGATAACTGAATGAGCAGATCGCATTCCTTGTGGCTCAGAAATTCGTTTATCTCGAATAACAATGGCTGAAAACTGCGGGTTACAACTCGATGTGATTTATTCTCCTCGAGTTTCATTTCCCGAATGTGGCCGATTTTTACGCCATTGAGCCTCACCAAGCGGAAAAATGCATCATGGGTCCGGTCTTCATTCTTTGTTGGGCAAATCTTAGGTTTGAGAAAATCATTTGCACAAGTTTGGGACCCATCTTGAGTCGTATTCGATCTTGATCTTCCCGTCTCAGCGCTCAGAGATTTTATGAAGTAAATCTGGTACACCAGAAGCAGTGCCAAAAACGTTAAATTTACTCGAGGATCGAAGAGACAGAAGGACATGTCTTAATTTCACAGGCAGATGGTTAGAAAACCAATCTATCGGTCCCTAGTTGTAACGCAAGTCTCCCCATCAAAGCGACCGGCCTTATGTTGAACCATTAAGACGTACACGTGGAAGCGCGCGTGAAAAACATCGCCCACGTGCCGGTATATGTAGGATCTGTGTATGGGTGAGGAGAAGTTTTTGTTCCCTTCTAGTTTAAACTCTTCCATGCCTATCTTAAATCATGCTTTAAAGCTTTGCATAACACTGAGACTTGGCCAGATTATCTTAAAATAATAAAACAGGAATGCCGCAAGGAACTGCGCTCAAGCAATTCAATTAGAATAGTGGTACCGACCGAAAACAGCACTTTCCAAGATAACGCGTCGCAGCTATTTAACAATTTACCAGAATCTATTAGAAACTGTAAAGATTATAGAATCTTTTCAAGACTTTCAAGGATTTTTTTATGTAATAGAGCACAAAGTGATTACTTAGTTTTGCTGTAATTTCTATTCTGTTAATCCTACTTCTACTTTTAATTGCACATTGCGTAATTTGTGAAATAACTTAATTTGATTTTTTTTTTAAATTATTTTAATTGTAATTGATGTATTTTAACAGGGAAGAGCCATCTGATGGATCTGTTAATAAACCATTATTATTATTATTATAATTATTATTATAGATAGTTTTTATTTCTTTATTAACTTTTTGATGCTTTTTATAATTGTTATTAGTAGTCTTTAGATAGTCATTTTACGACAATTCTCTTTCGTACACAAGAAGAATGTACAATAGGGTATATATTTTAATATTTATATTCTTGAATCTGTAAATAGTCTATTTTTTAAATCTATGAATAAAGTTTTGTAATATTATTATTATTATTATTATTATTATCATTATTATTATTCTGCAGTTACTCTTGGATGTATGTATGCGGTAACTGATCGGATGGAAATAAAAGTGACTGGCTCAGGGATTTTCAAGAGAAAAAAGCAAAACAAAACAAAAAAACACTAGACTGTGAAATGATGGATGTAAGCTCCTTCTTTGTCCTAATCCCCTTAATTCTCCGTGAGTGATCAAGACAGATTTTCTCCCTACTTTATCAATACAATTTCAAGCAGACAGGTGATAAGAATAAAGAAAAATATCAATTGTGAGATTATTGGTTGATCAAGCACCAAATTCTCCAAACCAACATCATGAGAATTGTACGGCAAACAGTAAGAAGAATTACTAATTTGATCTTGGGAGTGAAAGGGTTAGCATAATTAGTAACCTCTTAATTGCATGCAACACAGTAATTGATACAAATGCAAATTTTTTTCATGCATGAGATGTTTGTAGTAAAGAGTACCATTGGTTTAAATTAGCATTAAATCTAAATTATCGCGTCCGAAAACTAACAGAAGCATCCGGCGGGGACAGATGCGTTCACCATAAATTGGACAGAACTGTCCTAACAACGAAGCGTCTGAAGTTGGACGGAATAGTGAAAAAAAGCAAAAGCAAAAACAAAAACAAAAACAAAAACAAAAAAAACGGGGGAAGGGGACTTGGAACTGGACGGAACTGTCCGAAATAAGACGGTGACGATCAAAATTGGACGGTAGCGTCCAAAACCGGACCGAAAGTTGATAAATTGAAATAATGCTAAGGGGCGGACAATTATTTTTCTGGAGGGGAGTATGAGAAATATTGAAAAAAAATTGTTTGCAGGGTCTGAAAAGACAAAATAATTTGTTTGCAAACGTGATAGGGTAAAAATAAATGTTTGCAGAGAAGTCAGGTAAAATATTAAAATATATTATTACCAAAACTGAAATAAAAAAAAAATTAAGCAACAAATTAAGGCATTAGTATAAAAATTAACACAATTTGGGAACTTAAAAGTGGTCACTCTCTATTAAGCAAATAACAAATCTGAAAATAGCTGAATGCTTCTTGAAAAATGGGAATTTAATGTGGCAATTAAAAAATGGAAAAATTGTTTGCAGGAAGATGATATTGGAAAAAAATGTTTGCGGAGACGTATATGTTTAAAAAATGTTTGCAAAATAAAATTTCTCATACCCAGAAAAATAATGGTCCTTCCCTAAAGCCTGTTTTTAAGATGGTTTGCTAGTTCTATTTATGCATGGTGCTCGTTTATCAGACGTTCTAAGTCTTCGAAGAGCTATTGCAGTGCCCTCCAGAAAAATAATGGTCCGTCCCTAAAGCCCGTTTTTAAGATGGTTTACTAGTTCTATTTATGCATGGTGCTCGTTTATCAGACGTTCTAAGTCTTCAAAAAGCTATTGCAGTCCCCTCTAGAAAAATAATGGTCCGTCCCTAAAGCCTGTTTTTAAGACGGTTTGCTAGTTCTATTTATGCATGGTGCTCGTTTATCAGACGTTCTAAGTCTTCATAGAGCTATTGCAGTAAAGCAGTATAAAAAACTAGACATTCGTGTTTCTCAACTGGACGTATGTTAGTGGTGTAGCAACTTAGAAGGTCCTTTCATGTCGGTAACTTCGCGCGCCTCAGTCTCCTTGAAAAATAACAACACGATGCAAATTTCTTACACATTACTCTACATGCGTGTTCAATTTCAGAATCTTTGGATATCATAATACCCAATGGCCCAACAAAAAATGTAATAAAATTGTTAATGATAAGCTCCCAAATTATTCGCCAGCCTGGAAAATGCCATTCTATGTTCCTTGCAGTTCGTTCCTTTCAAACAATCCCATCAGCTTATGACTCATCAACAAACTCATTACTGCACAACTGCACTAAGCTGCTTCCGTTCTTAACCAAAACTCAGCGCTTGCTGTACATTTTTTTTGCGCTCCACCCTCCCCCCCCCCCCCCGCATTTGACACGCTTCGCGTTCGCCTCGTACTCCCCTCTGTCCGCCTGAAAAACGCAAAAAAAAAAAAATAAATAGATAAATGAAATAAAAAACGAATTGCGTCTGTTCTGCAGGCTAATTTGGACAGGTGGTTTTGCTCTGTTTCTCAAGAACCGACCCAGACAATAAGATAAGAGTGCTGCACTAGTACCGCGCGGGAAATCAGCAGGGAGCGAGTGCATGGAAACAGTGCATGAGCGATAAGACAGCCTCAATGACGATATGCATCTGTTGTCGCCATCAGGGAAGCAGCGCTTGGGTTGCACCCACTAAACTTTTTCGCTCACCTCCACCACTCACATAGTTAAAATTTAATTTTCCCTCCCATTTCTTCAATCATTTCTCTTAAAGAAAAAGAAAAAACCAGAAAGCAAAACAAAACAAAAAAAAAAAAAAAAAAAAAACAAAAAAACAAAAAACAGAGAGTAGACTGGGGCGAGAAGAAAAAGAGGGAGCGTCGTAGGAGTGTTGTAGGCATGTCTCGACCCAACCCCCGTCTTTTATTGTTTTGTGGTTTCCGTCTGCTCACTCTTCATAGGACTCGTTGTTGGGAAAGGCACAGAGAAGATATACTGCTTTGGAAAGTGGAGGAAATCCGGTAAAATCTCGATATCTTTATCTTAACTAAGAGATGTATTTTTTATATTCTGGTCAAACTATTCAAGGATCGAACAAAGGTTAGTGAAGTCAGAGGCGTATTTCGTGATCTCTGAGATCATAATTCCGTTCCTCGTGTTTACCGAAATTCGAATTTGCGAAGTAATCTTTGAGTTGGACTGCAATATTTCTCAAATGATCATTCGAACTTGGCCTACACGAGAAGATCAATTGAACTTGAGATGAAGAAAAGCAAGTTCAAAGATAAACGGATTCTTGCGAATGAATAACGCAGGGTAATTAATCTCGATTTTTTTTAATGCAAGTTTCTTCTTATAAAACAAGATATGACTTTTATTTCGAGATCTCAAGTTAACATGCAAGATCTGCACTTTTTAAAATGCAATATTTCCTCCAAGAACATGACCTCTTGACTTAAAACGCGAGATCACGGCTAACACCACGAAATCTCCATTAATATTCTGATCAGCGCTTATGTGTCGAAATCTTTTGTAGTCAGCAGGAATATCGTGTGCTTAGCCTATATCTTGCGTTACCACAAGCCCTTCTTAAGCAATCTTATATCTATTCAGTTTTTTCACTCTGAACCTCTGCTGCAAGTCTATTAAATCAGAGAATTCATATCGGTAATAACACTTACAGGAAACGTGATTCTCTATAACTCGAATATTCAACTTTACAACGCAAACTATTGATATTTCCAAAAACGTGACGAGCTGAAATCGTGATGTGGACCGTCCCGTGGGAACGCACCCTTTGTTACAGAAAGTCTAGCTAGCTGAACGAGATTGATCTGACCGGCTGTACAAAAAACCTTTGCAGACTACAGTTTTCCGCAACAACTTGTAATGAGGTAAATTTCATCGACATGCGGATGAAATTGAGTCAAAGAAATTATTATCCTTGTAGGTGGACTGCGATAACCTCTTAGCAACTGCAGAAAAGACGCTTGAAAAATTTCAAGCTTTGACGGGATTCGAACCCGGGCCTCCTAGTTAACAAATAGAGAAGCCTTGACTGTGCTCTGTTCTGTTGTAAAGCACACAGAAAGCAGCTAAAGCGCGATAAAAGTGTGGGGAGAAACACGAGCCGCCGGAGTCGAGTGTTCCTCCTCACTTCTGAGTGCTTTAGCCGCTCCCTAGGAGTTTTACAACCGAACAGAGCACAGTCATCAAGGCTTCTCTATTTGCATCGTACTAAAGAATCCGTTAAATTCCCCACGCATTACTCTCAAGTTTCAAAACAATCTTTATTTCCAAAGCGAACAACAGTGTCGTCAACATGCTCTATTAAAGAAATAAATAAAGCGCCGAGTGCATCGTTGAGTCCTATAAGCACGCGGTAATTTTTAAGAACACGAGAGAAGTACGGTGTTCTTAAAATTCTTAAGTGCTTCTAGATCAACGCTCGAGGAACAAGATTTTCATTTCCTTTATAAAATGTATTGTGAAATGCGCGCGCTCGTACCGATGACTCTATGGAAATAGAATGAACTCG